TGCCCGCTCTCAAAAGTGAACACACGCAGGACACACACCTAAACATGCTATATTCAACACATGTGTAGACCCACACCCCTACATGTGCATGACACATGAATATTAAACACTGAATATATAACGGAAGGAGGAAGCTTGTGAGACATCTCCTGCAGAGCGTGTGAAGAAGGCTTTGACCTGGTTGACCTTCCCTTCAGAGCCACGGACGATGATCTACGCCTTTTCCAAAGCAGGGAAAAGAATTTCCATTGTTTTAGCTCAGTGTTTCTCAACCTTGACCATTTTAAGGCATGTGGACTTCAACTCCCAGAATTCCACAGCCAGCAATGCTGGCTGTGGAATTCTGGGAGTTGAAGTCCACATGCCTTAAAATGGTCAAGGTTGAGAAACACTGGTTTAGATGCTTCTACTGGCAAGGAATGACAAAGCAGCATTTACCAGGATGCTACTGACAAACGGATAAGCCAGGATCCTGAGAGTGGCCATGAACAGGATGCAAGACTCTGTTGTGTTGATTCTCACTGGAAGCTTCAAGGGGCTCCAGATGATCAGTATTTTAACACCTTTTGCAGGACGTGCAGTGGAATGCTGTTACAGCCAAGACATCCCAACTGACAAGAGTTTATTAAATTGTAATAAATCAGTTTTGGAGAGACAGCCAAGGCTGCTAATGGGCATTTGCACTTGAACAAAAGTTCTGATAATTTTTCTTCACTAGTTTTGTGTTTTCCAAAGTTCCCTTGTGTAGAGACTTTTCTCTGTGCTGTTCACCTGTACATGCAGCGTCTCAAAATTTCATTTTTTAGATGTGAAACGGGGATTTTTTTTGGGGGGGGGGAATGCAGTAACCCCTAACTTGGTTCAGGCTGCTGCTGCTGGCCCGAAGGAAATGCTGGGGGGGGGGTGCACTCCTTAGTGTCCAGTCCAGTCCAGGCCAACGAGAAGACTGGCCATTTCCTTGACGTTGCGCCTTGCCAGGAGGTTTGTGGTCATTCAAATAGGTCTGGAGGGAATCCTACAAGAAGAGAAATGTCTCTACAGGCCGTCCCCAGTTTACAACGGTCCTTTTTAGTGACCTTTCAAAGTTACAACGGCACTGAAAAAAAAAGGGACTTAGGGCCTTTTCCCACGGTTCTGTGTGTTGCAGCCTCCCCCGTGGCCACGGGATCAAAATCCAGACGCTTGGCGACCGACTCGCATTTGTGACGGTCGCCATGTCCCAGGGGGGTCCCGGGATATCCCCTTTTGCGACGATCTTCTGACGAGCCAAGTCAATGGGGGAAGCCAGATTCGCTTAACGACCGGCTTACGAACTTACCAACTGCAGCGATTCGCTTACCTGTGGCGAGAAAAGTCGTCAAAGGGGGCGGAACTCGACCTAACCGACGTCTCGCTTAGCAAACAGAAATGTTGGGCTCAATTGTGGTCGTCATTCGAGGACTGTCTGTACTTTGGGATTTATTTTTTTTCCTCCCTATCGATTTTTCTTTTATTCCAAAGATCAAAATACAACATCTGAAATAGAGACAAAATAAAACTAAACGAATGGGAATTAAAAATAGATGACATTTTATCCCCCCCACCCCCGAATATTATGGAGATTCTCCGTCCTCCAGGTCCAGGTTGCCCCAAAAGTGCTTTTTCAAGAGGCAGCTGGATTTTCTGATTTTTCTTTGAAGAGGTCTCGCTTCTCATCCAAGAAGCTTCTTCAACTCTTCTGCCATGTTTTGCGGAAATCCGTTCATACTTCCACACCGTCCGAAGGGGGCTCATCCCAGAGGCCATAGCTAAATGTCTGTGGAGATTCTCCATCGTCCAGGTCCAGGTTGTCCCAAAGGGCCTTTTTGCAAGACTTCCTTTGTTTTTTCTTGAAGACTTTTTGCTTCTCACCCAAGAAGCTTCTTCAGCTCTTTGTGCCCCCTAGTTCAAGGCTTTTCAACCAGTGGGACGGGTACCACCTGTGGCACATGGGCACCTGACAGGGGGTACGCAACCATCCTAGAAAAGTGGTAGCGGGGGAGGGGAATGAGCTGAACCGGTGGCAGCACCGCACAAGCCTGAGCGAGAGACGGCTGGAGCTGCAGGGCTGTCAGGGCTCAGCGGAAGCGCCAGGATCAGTGACGCTTTCCAACTGAACGGCGCTTTGGGGCTGTCAGGGCTCAGCGGAAACGCCAGGATCAGCGCCAGGCTCCAGCTGGAGCTCGGCGCTGATCCTGGTGCTTTTGCTGAGCCCAGAAGAAGCGCCGATCAGCTGGAATGTTGCAGCCTCTCCAGGGTCTTGTGATTTACATTCAGATGCTTGGCAACTGATTCATATTTATGACGGTCACAGTGTCCCAGGGTCATGTGAAGGGACCAAAACCTGCTCCAACCACCCAGCAGACGGGGGGAATAAAAGCCAAACACCCCCCACTCCACCCCCACTGCCAATCCTCAACAGAAATGCTCACAACAATGGAAACCTCGGACAGGAGGAAGAGCGTGGCCAGGCGAGCAGGCAGGTGTCTTGCTTGGCTGTGCCTTGGAGGGGCACTTTTTCCAGTGCCATTGTAACTTCCAACAGTCACTAAGCGAACTGTTGTAAGTCGAGGACTACCTGTACTTTATCACTTTTTTCCTTTTTTTTTTGGTCATAAAAGTTTTTGACACCCTTGCTAGGCGACTGGTGGTACTCGGATGTTGCCATATCCTAAAAGTGGCACAATGGGTGAAAAGGTTGAAAAGCCCTGCCCTAGTTGAACACTTACAAATCCATTGCAACGATTAATAGCTCCCCCCCCCCCTTGCAAAGCAGGTCCAAAATTTATAAGCATCTATTTTCTGTTGTGGGATTCTGAATCTGCTTTAGAGATGCAGCTCATAAGTACAAACTTCCCTAACCCGTGTGGACCAATCCTGCAAACAGGGACACGGCTGTCCTGTGGGAAAAAACACATCTTGGCTGCTGTGAGATGCGCATGTATGTTTGGCGCACTCTCTTTTAATTGCAAGTCTGCACATCCTTTTTCTGTTACTGGAAGAAAGGGGCCCAGGGCGATGGGAAGAGAACGGGCGAGTGGCAACTTTGTGACCTGTTTGGACTTCAACTCCCAGAATTCCTTGAGCCAGCAGGAATTCTGGGAGTTGGAAGTCCACAGGTTGTAAAGTTGCCAATAGTGGCCCACCTGTGGCCTAGAACAGGGGTCTCCAACCTTGGCCACTTTTAAGACTTGTGGACTTCAACTCCCAGAATTCCTGTGGCTGGCTGGGGAATTCTGGGAGTTGAAGTCCACAAGTCTTAAAAGTGGCCAAGGTTGGAGACCCCTGGCCTAGGAAAAAAATATCTATCTATAGAATTTCTATTTGTGGAATAGAAAATAAATGTCTAAATATTTCTCGGTTCAAACCTCTCCCTGCGCCCCGATGACGACACTTGCATTATGGCAAACCTTCAACCGCAAAATGTACTGGATATAGGCCATTTTGAAGGCTTTTAATAAGAGACGGGACAGCCATTTGTCTTGAAATGGCCTAGAGCAGGGGTAGGCAACCTTGGCTCTTTTATGACTCGTGGACTTCCACTCCCAGAATTCCTGAGCCAGCTGTGCTGAGGGGAAAGGGAGAGGTTTCCAAGCTGAGCCAGGCTGGCTCATTAATTCTGGGAGTTGAAGTCCACGAGTCATGAAGGGGCCATAGTTCCCCCATGCTGGCTCAGGAATTCTGGGAGTTGAAGTCCACCAGTCATCAAGGGAGCCATAGTTCCCCCATGCTGGCTCAGGAATTCTGGGAGTTGAAGTCCACGAGTCATGAAGGGGCCAAAGTTCCCCCATGCTGGCTCAGGAATTCTGGGAGTTGAAGTCCACGAGTCATGAAGGGGCCAAGGTTGCCTACCCCTGGACTAGGGTCTCCTGTTTGAGCAGGAGGTTGGACTAGAAGACCTCCAAGGGTCCCTTCCAGCTCTGATGATATTCTACGTTCTAAATCCCATAAAGAGGAACTGAGCTTCTCCGGTTGGTCCCTGCAACAAGGATTGAATTGGGGACGGACTGCAGGTAGTCCTCAAATTACAACGGTTCATTTAGCGACCAGTTACTGAAAAAAGTGACTGATGACCGTTTTTCACACTCAACGACCGTTGCAGCGTTTCCGTGATCCCGTGATCAAAATTAAGACACACGGCAGCCGACTCAGATTTACGACGGTCGCAGCATCCCGTGGTCGCGACAGTCTGACCAGCAAAGTCATTGGGGGAAGCCGGATTCACTTAACAACCGTGACTAATCTAACAAGTGCATCGATTCACTTAAGAACGGTGGGGAGAAAGGTGGTGAAACAGGGCAAAACTCAAAAAAACCCCTCATTTAGCCACAGAAATTCTGGGCTCGGTCGTAATTCGAGGACTTCCTGCACCTGAGACTTTCCAGCACTTCTCTGCTCTGGGGGGGGGGGGGGGTCCGTCCAGTTCTCTGCAAGGCTGGGAGCCCCTGCAATTCGGCCCCTGTTGCAGAATCAGCCACCCCCCCCCCCCGTCCCAAATCCTCTGCAGGTGGGGACACGGCTGGGAGGGGGGTATAAGAAGCGCCCCCCTCCCCAGATGTGCAACGGTGCTTGCAGGACCCTCCGCTGCAATGCAGACCCCCCCCCGTGCTGTCCTGCCCACCTTTCCGGGGGGGGGGAGGCTGAAGCAGGTTCACACATCGAAATGTTTGTCAAATCTGGCCGCGTTCAGACGGGCGGACTTCAACTCCCAGCATTCCCTGGCTAAGAAAGCAGCGCGGGGAATGCCGGGAGTTGAAGTCCACGACTCCTCCCGACGCCCGGATCCCGCGCTCTCGCTCTCTCTCTCCGACGGCCCCCACCTCCGGGAGAGGGGCGTGGCCCCGGCCAGGAGGAAGGCGGAGTCCGCTCTCGATAGGGCGGCCTCCAGCCAATGGCGAGGGGGCGCCGTCTCCCGGGCGGCCAATCGGGACGCGGCGGGGACGCGCGGGAACTCGGCGCGCGGGCGACGGCAGGGCGCCGCGATGGGCGATCGGGAGCTGCGTCGTGAGTGGTTGGAATTTGGGGTTGGGGAAGACTACAAATCCCATCCTCCGCGGCTGACCCCCGATCCCTCGCTTCTCCTGCCCTAACCGCGAGGCCCATCCTCCGCGGCCAGCCTGCCGCGAGCGCGGATGATGGGAGCTGGAGTCCGGGGGACGGCCGGAGGATTGCTGGGCGGGGAGAGAGCCGGGGACGGAGCGTTGAAAAACAGCGCCCTCCTTTGGCCCGCGGTCAGGGAGCCCCCTCCTGCGGTGAGGGGGCTTCCGAGGGGGGCTCCCCAGAGGTCCTCTAGTCGGGCCCTTGCAGTTGGTTTCCTCCTCCCCCCCCTTCCCCGGGATGCCGGGATCGCCTTCGAGGGGGGGGAGCTGTTGCAGGGGTCAAAGGGAGGAGTGGGGAAGGGGCTGGACTGGGGGAGGGGCAATCCTTGGACACTGCTCAGGTCGTGGAGGGGGGGGTCCTTGGGGCAGCCCCCCCCCAGCCTTTCTTGCCTCCCTCCCAGGGGGTTGGGTGGCCGGGAGGTCCGGCCCGTGCTTGGATCTAAGCGTGTCCAGATCAGAACATATAGAGTACATGGATCACAGTAACATAGAACATCAGCAGAGTTGGGAGGGACCTTGGAGGTCTTCTAGTCCAACCCCCTACTCAAGGAAGACACCCTATAATCAGGAGTAGGCAACCTTGGCTCTTTTATGACTCGTGGACTTCAACTCCCAGAATTCCTGAGCCAGCATGGCTGGCTCAGGAATTCTGGGAGTTGAAGTCCACGAGTCATAAAAGAGCCAAGGTTGCCTAGCCCTGCTATAGACCATTGGTAGTCTTTCAACCTACGGCCACAATTGAGCCCAAAATTTATGTGGCTAAGCGAGACACTTGTTAAGTCAGCTTTGCCCTGTTTTACAGCCTTTCTGGCCCCAGTTGTTAAGTGGATCTGGCTTCCCCATTGACGTTGCTGGTCAGGAAGCCACAAAATGGGGATCCCGGGAACCTGGGACGCTGCAACCGTGATAAATATGAGTCAGTGGCCAAGCCTCTGGATTCTGGTCACGTGACTGTGGTAACGCTGTGTGAAAAATGGTCCTAAGTCACTTTTTTTCAGTGCCGTTGTAACTCCGAACGGTCACTAAACAAGGACTTGTTAAGTTGAGCACTTCCTGTATTAAAAGCCTGACTTTAACCGGGAAAAGAAAAGGTCCAATGTTGCTTATCGCACTGGGCCTGAAAATGAACGATTTTAGCATGCAGACAAGGGCTGGGTTACAGCCATGAATCAGTGAGCATTTTTTAAAAGTACTACAGCGAGGTTATCTCAGATTCGGGAGCCCTCAGTGCAAATTAATGATGGTTAAAAGAAGAGCCGTACTAGATCAGGCCAATAAAAGGGTGCTCCTAGGTATTTATTTATTTGCTATCCTGTCTACATTATTTTTACGAATAACTCAAGACAACAAACATTTAATACGCTTTCTCCATGGGCTTTCATGCCTTGGCTGGCTTTAGGACTTACAGTGATCCTGGTGATTGCTCCAAAGTTACCTAGCTTTCATGCCTTAAGCGGGACTAGAACTCGCCGTCTCCTGGTCATTAGCCCACAGTTACTCGGTCGGCATTCATGACTAAGACAGTACTAGAACTCACTGTCTCTTGGTGATTGGCCCAAAGTCACCCAGCCAGCTGTCATGCCTAAGGTTGGACTAGAACTCACCGTCTCCTGGTGATTGGCCCAAAGTCACCCAGCCAGCTTTCATGACTAAGGTGGGACTAGAACTCACCGTCTCCTGGTCATTGGCCCAAAGTCACCCAGCCAGCTGGGTGCAGGGGGCCAAGAGAGTATTTGTAGCTGAGTTGAACTGCGTTTCTTTGATGCTCTCTGAGTTTGATGGATTTTTTTTTTTACAGATGTTTCATGACCCAACTAGGGGACATTATCAGTGCTAGAAGGGAGGGGGCTTTGGGCTCTGACCTCTGGTTGGTTTGAGTTCAAACACAAGGCTAAAAAGTGGGAGATGGTGAGTTCTAGTCCCTCCTTAGCCATGGAAGCTGGCTAAGAAGAAGTGAGGTGGCTTGGGCTGAGAGAGAGTGGCTGGCCCAGAGTCATCAAGCTGGCTTTCATGACTAAGGCAGAACTAGAACTCACCGTCTCCTGGTGATTGGCCCAAAGTCACCCAGTTGGCTTTCGTGCCTAAGGCAAGACTAGAACTCACCATCTCCTGGTGATTGGCCTAAGTCACCCAGCTTTCTTTCATGGTTAAGGAGAGATTAGAATTCATCATCTCCTGGTGATTGTCCCAACGTCACCCAGTCAGCTTTCATGACTAAGGCAGAACTAGAACTCACCATCTCCTGGTGATTGTCCCAAAGTCACCCAGTCGACTTTCATGACGAAAGCGTGACTAGAACTCACCATCTCCTGGTGACTGGCCCCAAATCACCCGACAGGCTTTCATGACTAAGGCGGGACTAGAACTCACCGTCTCCTGGTCACCCAGTCAGCTTTTGTGCCTAAGGCAGGACTTGAACTCGGGGTCTCCTGCTTTCTTGCCTGGCGCCTTAACCACTGGACCAAACCAGCTCTCAACCATGTGGAGGATCCATCTTTTAAACCCTGTGGTGAGATTCATGCCGCTTCCCTTCGCCTCCTCCAGAGATCCGGAAGAGCAAGGAGAGAGCGCAGCGGAAGGGGGACCACAAGGAGGAAGCCGCTCTCTGCAACCGGCTGGGAGAGTTTTTGGCCCGTCACGGTGAGCGTCACGAGGGTTGGGACCATCAGCTCAGGCCGCTTCAGAGGCCACCCACAGCGGTCCCTTCACACGGCATCGCCGGTACAAGAGGAAACGTGGGGATAGAGAACTCAGTGAATCTCTGAGGTTGAGGGCACAAAGGAGACGTGTATCTGGTGGTCCTCGGCTTACGACCACAGCTGAGTTAGTAACACGGTCTGCCTTCCCTCTTGACTTTGCTGGTCAGAAAGCTGCAAAAAAGGAATCCCGGCGACTGTCATAAATACAAGTCAGTGGCCAAGGGTCCGAATTTTGATCACGTGACCCTGGGGATGCTGCAACAGTCGTAAGTGTGAAAAACGGCTGCAAGTGGTCTTTTTCCCCCTCTTCTCCCAGTTCAGTGCATGAGCCCCCCCCCAGGGTTGCCTCCCCAGGGAGTCCTCGGCTTACGACCACAGCTGAGCCCAACATTTATGTTGTTACGTGAGAATTTGTGAAGTGAGTTTTGCCCTTTTTTTACGACATTTCTGGCCACAGTTGTTAAGTGAAACACTGCAGTTGTTCAGTTTGTAACCTGGCTGTTAAGTGAATCTGGCTTCTCTCATTGACTTGGCCGGCCAGAAGGTCGCAAAGGGGGATCACGTGACCTCATCCCACCCTGGGACACGGCGACCGTCATAAATGTGAACCGGTTGCCAAGCGTCTGAATTTTGATCACGTGACCGTGGGGATGCTTGAAAGGTCGTAACTGTGAAAAACGGTCATAAGTCGCTTTTTTTCTGTGCCGTAACTTCGAACGGTCCCTAAAATCTCACACACCCTCAGAATTCAGGTGAGGCTCTGCAGAAGAGTGAAATGAAGGCCTGGCCATTCGTCCCCTCCATTGCTTCATCACCGACTAAGAGTTGGAAGGGACCTTGGAGGTCTTCTAGTCCAGCCCCCTGCTCAGGCAGGAGACCTTACACCATTCCAGACAAATGTTTGTCCAATCTCTTCTTGAAAACCTCCAGTGATGGAGCATCCACAACTTCTGGTGGCAAGCTGTTCCACTGGTTAACCCTAACTATACAGGAACTTTCTCCTTAGTTCCAGGCTGCTTCTCTCTTTGGTCAGTTTCCAGCCATTGTTTCTCTTCCTGCCTTCCGGTGCTTTGGAGAATGAGTTGACCCGCCCCCCTCTCTTTTAGGGCAGCCCCTCAAGTATTTGAACACTGCCATCATGCCCCCCCCCCAGTCCTTTTCTTCTGAACCTTTATAGAATACAGAATGACAGGAGTTGGAAGAGACTCCGGAGGTCTTCTAGTCCAACCCCAGGGAGGAGACCCTATAACCGTTTCAGACAAAGGGCTGTTTGGTCGCCTCTTGAAAACCTCTCAGGATGGAGCCCCCACAGCACCCTGATACATTTCCCAGAGTTCCTCCGCCGCCTGATGGTCACCGCTGCCCCTTCCGCCCCGCAGGACGCTTTCGGGAGGCTCTGGACGAGCACAGGCTGGAACTGCAGCTCCTGGAGAGCGGCGAGGACCTCATCGGCTGCGCGGTCGCCCACCGGAAAATCGGGGAGTGCTTGGCTGAGCTGGAGAGCTATGAAGCTGCCCTCAAGGTAGGAAGGACGGGAGACTTTGTCTGAAAGGGTATAGGGCAGGGGTCGGCAACCTTGGCTCTTTTATGACTGGTGGACTTCAACTCCCAGAATTCCTGAGCCAGCATGAGGGAACTATGGCCCCCTTTAAGACTCGTGGACTTCAACTCCCAGAATTCCTGAGCCAGCATGGGGGAACTATGGCCCCCTCATGACTGGTGGACTTCAATTCCCAGAATTCCTGAGCCAGCATGGGGGAACTATGGTCCCCTCATGACTGGTGGACTTCAACTCCCAGAATGCCTGAGCCAGCATGGGGGAACTATGGTCCCCTCATGGCTTGTGGACTCCAACTCCCAGAATTCCTGAGCCAGCCTGGCTCAGCTTGGAAATTCTCCCTTTCCCCTCAGCATGGCTGGCTCAGGAATTCTGGGAGTTGAAGTCCACGAGTCACAAAAGGGCCAAGTTTGAAGACCTCTCAGTTAAAGGAACATATAAAAGCATAATTAATGTTAATTAATGTAGACTTTATTAGTTTAGAGCAGGAGTAGGCAACCTGGGCTCTTTTATGACTCGTGGACTTCAACTCCCAGAATTCCTCAGTCAGCATGGCTCAGCTTGGAAACCTCTCCCTTTCCCCTCAGCATGGCTGGCTCAGGCATTCTGGGAGTTGAAGTCCACCAGTCATCAAAGAGCCAAGGTTGCCTACCCCTGCTATAGGGTTTCCTGTCTGAGCAGGGGGTTGGACTCGATGACCTCCAAGGTCTCTTCCAACATCATCATCATCATCATCATCATCATTATTATTATTATTATTATTATTATTATTATTATTATTATACCATATCCGTTATCGGATGTTGGCGATCACGTTGGCGATCCTGTTTTTATCAGCAGCCGCACGAAAAAGTGCTGCTGAGTTTTGTCCAAACCGGTCCCTGAGATTTTGAAGCCACGATGTTCTTCTTCTGCCTGGACCTCGTTTGCCTTCCATCTTTCCCTGGAGGATTAAATGGAGCATGCCGTATTTTTCTGGGTGTCGCATCACATGTCCAAAATATTCTAACTTTCCTTTTTTAATTGTTTTGGTGATTTCCCTTGGCTTTCCCAGGCGGCTTATCCCCTCCTCATTTCTGATCTTGTCAACCCAGCTTCTACGTAACGGCCGCCTGTAAATCCACATTTCAAATGCTTCTAGTCTCTTCTGTCAGAGACCAACTCTCTACTCCATGGAGCAGGATAGCCCACAAACACAGGACCACAATTTATGTATTTGCTGAAAACCATCTTTTGTGGGTTTTGGCAAAGACACACCCTAGCAAACAACAACCGCTTAATGACCGCTACTAAAAATCGATCATAAAATCAGATCGGCCATCATGTGAGGCTCCATAATGGTTGCAAGTCATGGACTGCCCGTACTTAACGGTCAGCCCAGTGAACGGGGATTTGAGCTGGTTGCGTTGTAGTGCGTGCAGCCCCCTCTCCGTCTCTCTCTTCCCCAGCACCAGCGTCGCCACCTGGAACTGGCCAGCTCCGTCTCCAACGGGTTGGAGGAGCAGAGGGCGTGGGCCACCATTGGCCGCACCTACATGTTCATGGCCGAGAGTGACCCGCTGGGGGAGTCCCTGCAGGAGGCTGAGAAAGCCTTCATGAAGAGCCTGACTGTTCTGGAGGAGAAGCTGGAAGGTACCAGGGATGGAGAGAGGTGGGAGGCAGGGCAGGGCCCCCCCGGGATCCCAGGGGTTGGTATCCCCTCCTGCTGAAGGTGGGACAAGGCCTTTGGGGGGCTTAAGAACTTGCGTCTTCCTTATGGGAGGCTCCCCAGGTTTGGGGTGGAAGCTGGCTGGTCTACACGAACGAGGGTAAATACAGTGGTACTTGGGTACTCGATTGCTTCCAAACTCTTCAAATTTGATACTCGGTGCATTTTGACATTAAAGTGTCCTGGTATTTGTNCCAGAATTCCTGAGCCAGCATGGGGGAACTATGGCCCCCTCATGACTGGAGGACTTCAATTCCCAGAATTCCTGAGCCAGCATGGGGGAACTATGGTCCCCTCATGACTGGTGGACTTCAACTCCCAGAATTCCTGAGCCAGCATGGGGGAACTATGGTCCCCTCATGACTGGTGGACTTCAACTCCCAGAATTCCTGAGCCAGCATGGGGGAACTATGGCCCCCTCATGGCTTGTGGACTCCAACTCCCAGAATTCCTGAGCCAGCCTGGCTCAGCTTGGAAATTCTCCCTTTCCCCTCAGCATGGCTGGCTCAGGAATTCTGGGAGTTGAAGTCCACGAGTCACAAAAGGGCCAAGTTTGAAGACCCCTCAGTTAAAGGAACATATAAAAGCATAATTAATGTTAATTAATGTAGACTTTATTAGTTTAGAGCAGGAGTAGGCAACCTGGGCTCTTTTATGACTCGTGGACTTCAACTCCCAGAATTCCTCAGTCAGCATGGCTCAGTTTTGAAACCTCTCCCTTTCCCCTCAGCATGGCTGGCTCAGGAATTCTGGGAGTTGAAGTCCACCAGTCATCAAAGAGCCAAGGTTGCCTACACCTGCTATAGGGTTTCCTGTCTGAGCAGGGGGTTGGACTCGATGACCTCCAAGGTCCCTTCCAACATCATCATCATCATCATCATCATCATCATCATCATCATCATCATTATTATTATTATTATTATTATTATTATTATTATTATTATTATACCATATCCATTATCGGATGTTGGCGGTCATGTTGGCGATCCTGTTTTTATCAGCAGCCGCACGAAAAAGTGCTGCTGAGTTTTGTCCAAACCGGTCCCTGAGATTTTGAAGCCACAATGTTCTTCTTCTGCCTGGACCTCGTTTGCCTTCCATCTTTCCCTGGAGGGTTAAATGGAGCACGCCGTATTTTTCTGGGTGTCGCATCACATGTCCAAAATATTCTAACTTTCCTTTTTTAATTGTTTTGGTGATTTCCCTTGGCTTTCCCAGGCGGCTTATCCCCTCCTCATTTCTGATCTTGTCAACCCAGCTTCTACGTAACGGCCGCCTGTAAATCCACATTTCAAATGCTTCTAGTCTCTTCTGTCAGAGACCAACTCTCTACTCCATGGAGCAGGATAGCCCACAAACACAGGACCACAATTTATGTATTTGCTGAAAACCATCCTTTGTGGTTTTTGGCAAAGACACACCCTAGCAAACAACAACCGCTTAATGACCGCTACTAAAAATCGATCATAAAATCAGATCGGCCATCACGTGAGGCTCCATAACGGTTGCAAGTCATGGACTGCCCGTACTTAACGGTCAGCCCAGCGAACGGGGATTTGAGCTGGTTGTGTTGTGGTGCGTGCAGCCTCCTCTCCGTCTCTCTCTTCCCCAGCACCAGCGTCGCCACCTGGAACTGGCCAGCTCCGTCTCCAACGGGGTGGAGGAGCAGAGGGCGTGGGCCACCATTGGCCGCACCTACATGTTCATGGCCGAGAGTGACCCGCTGGGGGAGGCCCTGCAGGAGGCTGAGAAAGCCTTCATGAAGAGCCTGACTGTTCTGGAGGAGAAGCTGGAAGGTACCAGGGACGGAGAGAGGTGGGAGGCAGGGCAGGGCCCCCCCGGGATCCCAGGGGTTGGTATCCCCTTCTGCTGAAGGTGGGACAAGGCCTTTGGGGGGCTTAAGAACTTGCGTCTTCCTTATGGGAGGCTCCCCAGGTTTGGGGTGGAAGCTGGCTGGTCTACACGAACGAGGGTAAATACAGTGGTACTTGGGTACTCGATTGCTTCCAAACTCTTCAAATTTGATACTCGGTGCATTTTGACATTAAAGTGTCCTGGTATTTGTTTTGTATTCGACGCGCTCCGATAGAAAGAGGGGGAAGACCACGGGGAACGGACAGGAAGTCCTTCCCAGCCGAAACAAAGGGCCAGCTGGTAAGAGACCTGCTTTGTGTGGTATTTGTTGTTTTTAGCACTTGTCACCCCTCCTGTGTGGTGTCCCCCATTAACCAATTAATGATGAATACCCAGGTACCACTGCACGTGTGTCCCAGAATAATAGGGCAGGATCCAATCTGAGTCGGTCACCGGGATCACAGATTTCGTCTCCCGAGCTTTCGGAGCCTGTCCGCGGGGAACGTCTCTCTTTTCAAAACAACACAACAGAATAACTCAGCTGGAAGGGATCTTGGAGGTCTTCTAGTCCAGGGGTCCCCAACCCCTGGTCCGTGGACCAGTACCGGGCCAGCAATCAGTCCGCCCAAACAAGCAAAGTCCCATCCGCGGGATGCAGGCAGCACGCAAAATCAGGCACCCTCCGGTCCGCGGAAAAAACCTCTCTCCACGGAACCGGTCCCTGGTGTCCAAAAGGTTGGGGACCTCTGATCTAGTCCAACCCCCTGCCCAGGCAGAAGACCCTATACCGTTTCAGACAAATGGTTGTCCAGTCTCTTCTTGAAAACCTCCAGTGATGGAGCATTCACCGCTTCTGGAGGCAGGTTGTTCCACTGGTTCATTGTTCTAACTATCAGGAAGTTTCTCGTTAGTTCTAGGTTGCTTCTCTCCTTGATTAGTTTCCCTCCGTTGTTTCTTGTTGTGACTTCTGCTGTTTTGGAAAATAAGTTGACCCCCTCTCCTCTTTGTGGCAGCCCACACACACGCACACACATATATAATATAGATAGATATCTATAGAATATATATTATACAATATACATAAAATGCGTGCGCTGGGCTGTCCTACTGATTGTGTTTATATGGTTCCTGGTCGTGTGTAGCTTTTAATTGTTAATTAGGATGTTGATGGCGGGCTATTAAGTCATCAACTGTTGTTTCCTCGTGCCACTGTGCCCTGGGCTCCTAAGTACCCGATAGGCCGATGGTGAATCAGCACTAAAAGCCACACACAGCCAGGAGCCATATAAATGCAATGCGTAGAACAGCCCAGTGTACACATTCTGGAGAGAGGGAGACGAGGGAGAGGAAGAACGGCTGCGGGACTTGGGTTTGGCCACTCTAAAGAAAAGAAGAAATAGGGGGGACAGGATAGCGGTGTCCCAGTATCTGAGGGGCTACCACAAAGAAGAGGGGGCCAGGTTGTTCACCAGAGCACCAGAGGGAAGGACGAGAAACTGATCAAGGAGAGAATCAACCTGGAATTGAGGAGAAACTTTCTGACAGTGGGGACAATTAACCAGTGGAACAGCTTGCCACCAGACGTTGTGGGCGCTCCATCCCTGGAGATTTTCAAGAAGAGACTAGACAGTCACCTGTCTGAAATGGAATAGGTTCACCTGCTTGAGCGGGGGGCTGGACTAGAAGACCTCCAAGGTCCCTTCCAGCTTCTATTCTATTCTATTCTATTCTATTCTATTCTATTCTATTCTATTCTATTCTATTCTATTCTATTCTTTCTTCATTATTCTATTCTGTTCTACTCTACTCCGCTGCACTCCATTCCATATTCTATTCTATTCTATTCTATATTCTATTCTATTCTATTCTATTCTATATTCTATTCTATTCTGTATTCTATTCTATATTCTATTCTATATTCTATATTCTATTCTATTCTATATTCTATTCTATTCTATTCTATTCTATTCTATTCTATTCTATTCTATTCTATTCTTTCTTCATTATTCTATTCTGTTCTACTCTACTCCACTCCACTCCACATTCTGTTCTATTCTATTCTATTCTATTCTATTCTATTCTATTCTATTCTATTCTATTCTATTCTATATTTTATTATTCTATTCTATTCTATCCTATCCTATTCCCTGAGGATGGGCTCAAACAGGACCCCGAAAGCTTGGAAGAGCCAAACTCGAACTCAGATCAGATCCCGCAAGCTCTCTTCTCCTTGCAGGTCAGGTACCGCAGAGGGAGGTGAGCGAGATGAGGGCACGGCTCTACCTGAACCTTGGCTTGATCTATGACAGCCTGAGAAACCCCGCCCTGCGCATCTCCTACATCAAGAAGAGCATCTACATTTCTGAGTAAGAGGGCCCTGGGGGTTTCTCTTGAGGGACCACAGCACCCCTCTCTCCCCCCTGCTCCACCTGGGGCTGAATCTGCACTCTGCTGAAGGGGAGCAGGGAGCTTCGAGAAGCCCCTGTGGTTTGGGGCGGCCGGAAGGCCTCAGGGCAGCTCTCTGCTAGGGGTTGGACTACTAGAGGACCTCCAGGGTCCCTTCCAACTCTCTTACAGGTAGTCCTGGACTTAGGACCACAACTGAGCCCAAAAGTTATGCTGCTAAGCAAGACATTTGCTGAAGTGAGTCTTGCCCCCTTTGCAGCCACGGTCGTTAAGCGAATCACTGCAATTATTAAGATAGTAACACGGTTGTAAGAAGTTAGTAACACGGTTGTAAGAAGTTCGCAAAAGGGGATCGCGTGACCCCGGACATAAATATGAGTCAGTTGTCAAGCATTCTGAATGTAAATCACGTGACCATGGGGGGGGACGCCACAACGGTCGTAAGTGTGAAAAAAGGATCATAAGTCACTTTTTTCGGTGCCGTCGTAACTTGGAACGGTCACTAAACGAACTTGTAAGTCGAGAACTACCCATATTAGTGTCCGTATCTCCTAATGGCTCCTCTCCAATTCCTTAATTGGTTATTTATTTATTTTCTTTTAAGTATGTTTTATTATTGTTTTAACATAATCACCTTAATATTCGGTAGACAGTGCGTTGTCTGGGTTTACATTTAACAAACATTCCCTAACAATTAAATTCTATAATCTATAATCCACACAATAACTTTACTTGATTTCCTCTTTTCCCCATAGTCTTCTCTTTTACCAACCTTCAGTTAATACAATTCTTATTGTTTTAACAGAGGATAATTAAATATAAAAGTTTTCTAATATTTCTACAAATAATAATGGCATCAGTATAATATTCCTTTTCTATCTAATCATTCTGGTTGTCTCATCGTATATCCTGTTTACAGTTCTTATTTGCATTTGTTTTCCCCACAATGTTCTAAACATTTTTACTGGTTAAGATCTTCTCAGAATTAATTACATTTAATATATTTAAATCTGTTTTTCTCATGCAAACCAACCCAATACTTTTACCTTTCTTTTTAAAAAAAATTTTTTTTTATTGGATTTATATAAACGAGGAAAGAATAGGAACAGTATAGGTATGGGGAGGGAAGCGGATGGGAAATTTGGGATGGAAAAAGGGTAGGTACAATAATCTCATGCTTTAACAAACAAGCTACCGTCCGGATCATAATAGTGAATAAACATAATTTATATCATACTCAGCCAATTTAAAATAAGATTAACTATAACCATATTACTAATCTAATCTATATTAATTAATTAATTAATCTATATAAATAAAAATGTAAATGTTCATTTGTTCAAAATCTTAAATCTCCGAAAGTTCTCCAGCGATTGCTTTGAAATTTTGACACAACGTTGCATTCGAATATGTGTGTGTTTTTATATACCTATATTATATAGATGTCACACCTGTGACAGGTCAAAACATGCTTTTTTTGAAAAACAGCGCCATCTGTTGGACGTAAAAGCAACACACGCTACGATTTTACGATTCCATTTCAATGTTTCCGATTTACGATCCATTTACGATTTCCAAATTTCCAATTCTTTCTTTTCCATTTAACCAGACTGAGCCACAGCAACGCGTGGCCGGGTACAGCTATAAACAAATAAAATTCATCTATGCAAACAAACATAGTTAATAAAATCTCAACTAATCATAACTGTCAACATTAACGGTTGACAATCACTAAAAATAAAGATGTTATCAACCTAGTAACAAAAGAGAAAGAGGAAGGATAAGAATAAGAACAAGAATAAAATAAAAAGATAGCAGGCTACTTAAAATCCCTAACACACATTTATTTCCAAAATTTATTTATTTATTTTTCTTTCATTTATATTTCACGCAGTTCTGAACTGCCCGTCTCCCCCAGAGGGAGACTCTGAAGCACATCAAAATATAAACCAGCGTAGATCTATATATAAATAAAAATGTAAATGTTCGTTTGTTCAAAATCTTAAATCTCCGAACGTTTTTCACCGATTGCTTTGAAATTTTGACACAACGTTGCATTCGAATACGCGCGTGTTTTTATATACCTAGATTATATAGATGTCACACCTGTGACAGGTAAAAACACGCTTTTTTTGAAAAACAGCGCCATCTGTTGGACGTAAAAGCAACACACGCTAACCAGACTGAGCCACTGCAACGCGTGGCCGGGTACAGCTAGTAGATAATAAAACGTCAGGGTGGAAATTATAACTCCAGTGCTTGAACTCTGGAGCTCCTTGCGGGCAGCCGGAGAGATTCCAGGACTCCTTGACCCATCAGGCAGGGCGTTGCCAGGGTGCCCATGGTCTCTTCCCCCCTCCCAGGCAGGCTCACCTGTCGGAAGACCTCTTCCGAGCCTACTTCAACCTGGGCAACATCCACCTGCGGGAGAAGGAGCACTCAAAAGCCATGCGCTGCCTGGAGCGCGCCCGGGAATGTGCCTGCAAGATGAAGGAGAAATGCATGGAGAGCGAATGCTATGCCAGCATCGCCCAGGTGAGAGACGACACCTTGAGAGGGGGGCTCACCTGCGCCCCACGGATTCGAAGGGGCTCGGTCTGCTTGCTCTGCACAAGCGGGGCTAAACCCTAGAGCAAACTTGGTCCCTTTAAGACTTGTGGACTTCAACTCCCAGCATTCCCCAGCCAGCGCATGCTGGGAGTTGAAGTCCACAAGTCTTAAAGGGACCAAGGTTGAATACTTGGCTGGGGAATGCTGGGAGTTGAAGTCCACAAATCTTAAAGGGACCAAGGTTGAATACCTGGCTGGGGAATTCTGGGAGTTGAAGTCCACAAGTCTTAAAGTGGGCAAGGTTGAGGGGCTGGCTGAGGAATTCTGGGAGTTGAGGTCCATAAGTCTTAAAGTGGACCCCTTAAAGTGGAGGAAGGGGCATTCTCTGACCTTTGCCCTCGGTCACCCGCAGGTCCTTCTGGGCCTGGGGGATTTCGTGGCCGCCAGACGGTCCCTGAAGAAGGCCTACCGCCTGGGCTCCTGGCAGCCCCAGCAACAGGACAGCGTTGGCCGCAACCTGCGTTACGGTGAGTGCCGGTGCCCGTGGGTCTGGCCGCGGGCTCCGGGGTCAGAGTGTGCCCTGCGCCACCCTGGTGTGACTCTCCCTGTCCGGCAGCCACGAAGGTGAGTCGCTTGCAAGGAGCCCTGGAGGAGGCCGAGGCTGCGGGCGACCTGGAGGCAGCGCTGGGACTCTACGAGCAACTGGGTGACCTTTTCTGCAAGATGGGCGAGTATCGGAGGGCTGTGGAGGCCTATGAGAAGCAGGTAGGGGCCAGGGGGTTCCGGGGGCCAGGCCGTGGAGGAATTGGGGGGAGGGGGGAGGAAGAGGGTCCAGCCATCCCTGGCAAAATGGCCCCTTTAGGTCTCTCGCCTGGGCAGAGATGTGGGCGCTCCATCACTGGAGGTTTTTAAGAGGAGACTGGACATTCACCTGTCTGAGACGGTGTAGGTTCTCCTGCTTGAGTAGGGGGCTGGACTAGAAGACCTCCAAGGTCCTTTCCATCATCATCATCATTATTATCATTATTATTATCAACAACAAAACAACAATAATAATAATTTCCTGGCCCCCTAAACCGTTTGGCTGCTCTTTTTTAGCTCGGCCATGCCCAGGCCTTGGGGCGTCCGGAGCAGGAGTTGGCTGTGATTCACGTCTCTTTGGCGGCCACCTTTGGGGACCTCAAGGACCATGCCCAGGCGGTGGAGCATTACCAGGCAGAACTGGCCCTGCGGCGTGGGAACCCCATGGAGGTAACGGGGGACGAGAGGAGGAGGGCTGCAGGTGTGCGTCTGCAGGATGTGCTCCCCCCCTCAGCCAATGCCCACTGCTGAGACAATAGCATCCTGGAGGGAGATGGTGAGCTAAAACAGACCTCTCCAACCTTGGCAACTTTAAGACCTGCAGATGCTGGCTGGCTGGCTGGGGAATTCTGGGAGTTGAAGTCCACAAAAGTGGCCAAGGTTGGAGACCTCTGGAGACTGCTTAAGGTTGTGCAGTGGTGAATAGAGTAGAGTAGAAAATAGGAGATAATAAAATAGGATAGGATAGGATAGGATAGAATAGAGCAGTGTTTCTCAACCTTGACAATTTTAAGGCATGTGGACTTCAACTCCCAGAATTCCACAGCCAGCAATGCTGGCTGTGGAATTCTGGGAGTTGAAGTCCACATGCCTTAAAATTGTCAAGGTTGAGAAACACTGGAATAGAGAATAGAATAGAACAGAAACAGAATAGAATAGAATAGGAATAGAATAGAATAGAATAGAATAGAATAGAATAGAATAGAATAGAATAGAATAGAATAGAATAGAATAGAATAGAATAGAATAGAATAGAATAGAATAGAATAGAAAAAATGGAATGGAATAGAATAGAATAGAATAGAATAGAATAGAATAATAGAATAGAATAGAATAGAATAGAATAGAAAATATGGAAGAATGGAATGGAATAGAATAGAATAGAAAATATGGAATGGAATAGAATAGAAAATATGGAATAGAATAGAATAGAAATAACTTTATTGTCACTTTAAATGTACACTAATCAGCACACACTAAAATGATATTTCATTGCATACAGCTCTCAAAGGGTAACCACCTACAATATACACTGCATAAACATGACAAAAGAATAAATAAATAAAATAAATTATATACGCACACATACGTGGCCCAGAGAAGCAACATAAGTCTAGTTCAGATCTATACATATACATGAAAGAAAAACGAATCTTGCGAGTTTACCAGACGGAGGGCACAGGGAACAAAGCAGTTACAGAATTTGGTAATCCTGCTATAAATACTTCGAAACCTCCTCCCAAAGGGGAGCAACAGGAACAGACTGTGAAGTGGGTGTGTGGGGTCTCTCACAGTGCTTCGAGAACCGTATTGCAGGCTAACTGCCCACTGCAAGGAGTTTGTTCCTGACCGGCTCAAGGTCCACTCAGCCTTCCATCCTTCCAAGGTCGATAAAATGAGGACCCAGATTGTTGGGGGCAAATATGCAAGTAACGCTGACATTGTAAACCGCCCAGAGAGTGCTGTAAAACAGCAGGAAGTGGGACATAAGTCTAAGTCCCTTTTTTTAATATAAATTTTTATTGAGTTTTATAGGGTTGGGGAAGGGCTAGGACCAGGATAGGGATTAAGATTCGGGATGGGGTTAGGATCGGGATTGGAGTTAGGACGGGATTAGAAACAACATTGGGGTTACCCCCCCCCCCATAACATTTTCAAGCTTTAGCAAGCAGATTGTTGTCCAGGTGCATATGTTCAGTTAACATTGATTAATATAATGGTAAATAGCTATAGTAATTATAACAAGCGATAAACATAAACAGTATCATTTGGTCAATACATATCATTCTTCTTACTAATATATATTCAAGATAACATATCACATTCATTTCTCACTAGTTCGTTTTCCTAACCATTGGTAAAAATTATCCCACGTTCTAAAATAAACTGAATCTAATAATAATAATAATAATAAAGTTGGAAGGGACCTTGGAGGTCATCTAGTCCAACCCCCTGCTCAGGCAGGAAACCCTATACCATTTCGGACAAATGGCTGTCCAGTCTCTTCTTAAAAACTTCCAGTGTTGGCACGTTCACCGCTTCTGGAGGCAGGTTGTTCCACTGGTTAATTGTTCTAACTGTCAGGAAGTTTCTCCTTAGTTCTAGGTTGCTTCTCTCCTTGGTTAGTTTCCATCCGTTGCTTCTTGTCCTGCCTTCAGGGGCTTTGGAGAATAGCTTGACTCCTTCTTCTTAGGGGCAGCCCCTGAGATACTGGAAGGCTGCTATCATGTCACCCCTGGTCTTTCTCTTCGTTAAACTAGACATCCCCAATTCCAGCAACCAATCCTTGTATGTTTTAGCCTCCAGTCCCCTGATCTTCTTTGTTGCTCTTCTCTGTACTTCTTCTTTCTCTTTGATCTCTAAGGTTAATCTATCCATTTCTGCACATTCTAACATTTTCTTAATTAAAATAAATCTAAGTGCTTTTAAGCTCGGTCTGTTCTGTCCACGCCAGGAGGGCAAAACGTGGCTGAACATCACCCTGGCCAAGGATGAGGCTGGCGAGACCTACCAAGAATTGGAGACCTGTTTCCAAGCCGCTCTGCAATGTGCCCAAAAGGCCGGTGACCCCAAACTGGAGGTGAGCGGGGAGGGCGCTCTTGGGGGGTTCGCGAAAGGAAGGTGGTGAAAACTGGAAAGGACCATGGTTCAAAAAGTAACTGGACTTTCTTGGTTTTTTTCCTTCAAAACATTTTGCTTCTCACGCAAGAAAACGGGATTTCTCCCGATTCCTCCTATAGAAGGGAAGGGTCTCCCAACCTGGCGACTTTAAAGACTCGTGAACTTAAATTCTGGGAGTTGAGGTCCACAAGTCTTAAAAATCACCAGGTTTGAACGCTGCTCTATCATTTGTCTTTGCTTGACCAGGAGCCAGATTGACAGCTGTGCCTCAAAATAAGCTGCCAATACCCAGCTCAACGATCCCAATAAAAGTCCAAGTTCATTTCGTTTCCGAAAATCTTACTGTTTCATGAATACACGGCATGGTGATGTCGAAGCAAAACTCACTCTGAGGGCCCCAGACACCAGTTTATAGAATTAAACAATACTCTCTCCGGCCCAAACCCCATCCTCTCATGTAGTCCGTGTAAACCATTTCGCTTTGTTATGGGAACCGTCTGCCTCTTCTCCACACCTACTGACGTGTCCTTGGAAGGGTTTCAGGCTCTCACAGTCTTCAGCGGAATCGTAGGGGTTTCGTTTCTTCACCTTCACCATTTCTAAAGCAATGCCTCCCACACACCCATTTACTCTAATGGCAAGTTGAAACGAAGAGGCACGTAGCTGCCAATGTTTCATTCTTGACGTAAGCCGGATGATCACACCCCGATCGCTCTCTGTCAGCTTCAGATCCTGCAGCACCTCCAAGCTTCTCAGCAGAGATGGGGCTGCCCGCCGGCGGCCACGGCAGAGACGTCAGCCCGGCTGCAGGCCCTCCGCGCCTCCCAGGGCTGCCCCTCAGACGGGGAGAGCAGCGAGGAAGAGGAGATGCAGAACAGCCAGGCCTTGGAGGCCAGCGACGTGGAGCTCTCCGACAGCGGTGAGCATTGTGGGTGGCGTGGGAGAAGAGGGCAAGTGGGTTCTTCTGGCTCTGAACAAGCAGGTAGTCCTCAGCTTAACGACCACAACGGAGCCCAAAATTTCCGTTGCTAAGCGAGACAGTTACTAAGTGAGTTTTGCCTTGTATTACAACCTTCCTTGCCGCAGTTCTTAACTGAATCACTGCAGTTGTTAAGTTAGTAACACGGTTGTTAAGTGAATCTGGCTTCTCCCGTTGACTTTGCTGGCCAAACAGTCGCAAAAGGGGATCACTGTGACCGTCCTAAATGTGAGCCCATGCCTCTGAATTTTGATCACGTGACCCTGGGGATGCAGCAACGGTCGTAAGTGTGAAAAACAAGTCATTTTTTTTTCAGTGCCGTGGTAGCTTTGAACGGTCACTAAATGACCTGTCGAGGGCCACCTGTACGGAGTCCAGTTTTTAGGTCTCGCCCCTTCCTGGTGGAGGAGAGGGGGTGGGAGCTGGTCGAAGGGCGGGCTGCAATTTTCCTGACTTGTCAAACTGTCACTTAACCGTTGTGAGTTCCTGCTGAAGAAGGAAGGCAGGGATGAGGATGCCACCTGAATCCAGGTGAGGCCCCGGCTCTTCCCGTTTGGTCCAAAGGCAGTCAGGACCAGCCTGTGTCAGAAAAGAGCTTCTCCCTCTGAAATGGCAGTTTTCTAGTCTTGGGGGTGTTCCTGGAGTCGGTCCCTGACTGAGGAAGCCAGGAAGACGCTTTCGCACAACAGCGCTGGGCCAACTGCCCCTGGAAATGCCAAGATGGGGGGAGGGCAGCAAGCAAGCCTTGTTTTCCTCCCCGTGGCATCGACCGCTTCAACCCTCTCCTGGGTTTGCCTGGAAGGCAGCCCCAGAGCGCAGCTACTAACGGGGAACAGGACGGCGTTAGAAGGGAGACGTCGTACAAAAGGGAGACACGGACATTGTGTGGAGTGGAATTAGCACGGGGGTCTCTGCCTTAGAGCCCTCTGGGGGACCCACCCAACGGGTCCAGGAGGACTTTGGAGCCCCTGATGCTTCCTCTGACACACACACACACCCCGCTTCTCTTCCAGATGAAGAAGAGGACATGGAAGGCTACAGCAAAACAGTCCCTGGACGGCGGAGGGTCAGCAAGGTGAGCCCAGAAGCTTTGACTAGGCGTAGGGGTGGGTGTCAGGCACGAAAGACCCCCATGTGAAGGCTCAATTAAACCGATTTATCACTCAACGGCCTATGCCAGTGGTGGCGAACCTATGGCACGCGTGCCAGAGGTGGCACTCGGAGCCCTCTCTGTGGGCACACGCGCCGTTGCCCCGCCTCGCCTCCCCCCCACACCCCCCCCTCACCAGCAGCCCCCCTGGAGGAGAGTCGCCCTCGAGCATGGCCCACACAGAGCAGCGCAGCCAAGGACATGGCAGCCAGGCAGTGTAGCCAAGACTCTGCCCTCATGCCCCATCCCGCACAGTTGGTGCTGCGGGGCGCGGGCAGAGGGTGTGGCTGCCATGGCACTGCTGGGCTGCCTGGGCGATCTGCAGTGGACCCTGGAGGCGGTGAGTGGCCCTGCGGGCAGGTGGGGTGGGGGACGGGTAGGGGTGGAGCAGAGGCGGGGCAGGGGGTGGAGCGGGGGTAGGGCCAGTTTTTGGGCACTCGGTCTTTAAAAGGTTCGCCATCACTGGCCTATGCGCAGGAATTTTTAGCAGGGTCTGCTCAGAGATAGGTCAGAGCCAAAGAAATCCGAGGGAGGTTGGCGTGGTTTCGCTTGCGGCTACGTAGGGATTCTTGGCTGGTGCCTCGTTTGACTCCGCCTTGAGTTCTGCCATTCTTTTGCCTACGTTGAGGCGCTCCTTTGACCCCTTGGTTTTGGGCTGGTATGGCGGGTGGCTACTGATCTTCCCACGGAAGGGATCCACGTTGGTGCTCTTTTCCTCAGTGGAACCAGCGGAACGACAAGGGCGAGACTCTTTTGCACCGCGCCTGCATCGAAGGGAATCTGCGCCAAGTCCAGTTTTTTCTGGAGAAGGTCAGTCTTGGAGCAGGGAATTTTCGCGAGTGGCTGTCATGGAAGGCCAAACCAAGAGACTGAACGTAACTCTGCCGCCAGCACCCAGCTTATTTAGATTTTATATACTAATTTCCAGGTGACCTCACGCAGGCCGGACGGGGACAGCCAAAGAGCTGGAGGTGACCCCGGGGCTATAAAATGCCCAGGTCCAGTCTTGGGCTTGCAGGGAAGAAAATGGCCGAGGGATGGGAGGGGAACCTTGTGCTTGAAGCAAGTGAGAGGGGGCTGTTTCCCTTCTGATGCACCCTATTCTCGGGTCCAGTTCAAGCCCACATCTTTTGTCTTAACTAGAGAATTGTGGGGGGGGGGGGGGACACGTGCCAGCCTGAAGGAACACCCTGTCTTTCCCCTAAGCCAGGGATAGACAACCTTGGCTCTTTTACGACTCGTGGACTTCAACTCCCAGAATTCCTGAGTCAGCCATGCTGAAGGGAAAGGGAGAATTTCCAAGCTGAGTCATGCTGGCTCAGGAATTCTGGGAGTTGAAGTCCACCAGTCATAAAAGAACCAAGGTGGCCTACCCCTGGGCTAGAGGGTGGGGAACCTTGGCTCTTTTATGACTGGTGGACTTCAACTCCCAGAATTCCTCAGCCAGCCTCCTTTTTGTTTGTTAGATTTAAGACAGGAGTCTTCAAACTTGGCCCTTTGATGACTGGTGGACTTCAACTCCCAGAATTCCTGAGCCAACATGGCTCAGCTTGGAAACCTCTCCCTTTCCCCTCAGCATGGGTGGCTCAGGAATTCTGGGAATTGAAGTCCACGAGTCATAAAAGAGCCAAGGTTGCTTGCCCTAGACCAGGGGTGAGGAACCTTGGATCTTTTATGACTGGTGGATTTCAACTCCCAGAATTCCTCAGTCAGTCTCCATTTTGTTTGTTAGATTTAAGACAGGAGTCTTCAAACTTGGCCCTTTTATGACTGGTGGACTTCAACTCCCAGAATTCCTGAGCCAGCCTGGCTCAGCTTGGAAACTTCCCTTTCCCCTCAGCGTGGCTGGCTCAGGGATTCTGGGAGTTGAAGTCCACTGGTCCTAATGTGCCCAAGGTTGGATACCCTGATTTACAATTAGTATTCAGAAGGGAAGCTGTGAAATTCCTGCAGATGTTATTTTTTTCGCCCTTCCTGCTTACAAGTTAGTTAGAACTGTGGCTCCCCCCCGAAAGGAGAAATTAAAATTAAAACCTACAAGATACTTTCCAACAGAGGGGAATAATAGGGCAAAGTTCGATTGAATTAATAAAAAAAAAAAAAAGTTCCTTTTACAGCCCCAAACCCTCAGCCTCTTCCTCCAGCTTTACTATCCTCTTTCTGTGTCAGGAGCACCCTGTAAACCCCCGGGACTATTGCGGATGGACCCCCCTTCACGAGGCCTGCAATCACGGGCATCTGGGTAAGCGGGGACTGAACGATGGATGGGGTGCGGATTCTGCTCATAAGCAGAGATGAGGGGTTCAGTCTATTCTCCAAAGCCCCTGAAGGCAGGACCAGAAGCAACAGTTGGAAACGGATCAAGGAGAGAAGCAACCTGGAACTGAGGAGAAACTTCCTAAGAGTGAGGACAATTAACCAGTGGAACTGCTTGCCACCAGAAGCTGTGGGTGCTTCGTGACTGGAGGGTTTTGAGAAGAGACTGGACAGTCACTTGTCTGAACTGGTATATAGGGTCTCCTGCTTGAGTAGGGGGCTGGACTAGATGACCTCCACGGTCCCTTCCAACTCTTGTTATTCTGCAAGGGTCTCCTGCTTGAGTAGGGGGCTGGACTAGAAGACCTCCAAGGTCCCTTCCAACTCTGTTATTCTCTAAGGGTCTCCTGCTTGAGTAGGAGGCTGGACTAGAAGACCTCCAAGGTCCCTTCCAACTCTGTTATTCTCTAAGGGTCTCCTGCTTGAGTAGGGGGCTGGACTAGATGACCTCCACGGTCTCTTCCAACTCTATTATTCTGCAAGGGTCTCTCCTGGTTGAGCAGGGGGCTGGACTAGATGACCTCCAAAGTCCCTTCAAACTCTTACTCTGTAAGGGTCTCCTGCTTGAGTAGGGGGCTGGACTAGAAGACCTCCACGGTCCCTTAACTCTTGTTATTCTGCAAGGGTCTCCTGCTTGAGTAGGGGGCTGGACTAGAAGACCTCCACGGTCCCTTCCAACTCTTATTTTGCAAGGGTCTCCTGCTTGAGCAGGGGGTTGTACTAGAAGACCTCCACAGTCCCTTCCAACTCTGTTATTCTGCAAGGGTCTCTCCTGGTTGAGTAGGGGGCTGGACTAGATGGCCTCCAAAGTCCCTTCAAACTCTTACTCTGTAAGGGTCTCCTGCTTGAGTAGGGGGCTGGACTAGAAGACCTCCACGGTCCCTTCCAACTCTGTTATTCTATAAGGGTCTCCTGCTTGAGCAGGGGGTTGGACTAGAAGACCTCCAAGGCCCCTTCAACAGTGTTATTCTGTATCGCTTGCAGAACAATGTTGGACGTGACTTCCTTGTATCTTTCTCAGAGATCGTCCGCTTGCTCTTGGACCACGGCGCCACCACTGATGACCCAGGGGGGCCGGGCTGTGACGGCATCACCCCGCTGCACGATGCCCTCAATTGCGGCCACTTCGATGTGGCCGAGCTCCTCATCCGTAGAGGCGCGTCAGTGTTGCTGCGCAACGCCACGGTAAGGAGACCCTGGGGGTTTCTCAGGTGGTGGACGTGGGTGGGCAAGCGTGAGTGTGTCAGGACTGGTGTGACTTTATTTGAGAAGCTGGCCAGCCTGGGATCTAGTGAGGACAATTAACCAATGGAACAGCTTGCCACCAGAAATCGTGGGCGCTCCATCACTGGAGGTTTTTAACAGTCACCTGTCTGAGACGGTATAGGTTCTCCTGCTTGAGCAGGGGGCTGGACTAGAAGACCTCCAAGGTCCCTTCTAGTTCTATTCTAACATTCTAATCTCTCGCTGTCCCTTGGCTGTCTTATCTACTGACTTACTCATTTTTAACCTGCCTTGGTTATTTTTATAAATTCCTCAAGGAGGCAAACATATCCCCACAACACCAAACGGGGGGCTAAAGTCATCCAAACGGCTTTTGTGCTTAAGGTGGAACTAGAACTCAGTCACCTGGTGACTGGCCTAAACTCACCCACCCGGCTTTCATGGCTTAGACGGGACTAGAACTCACAGTCACCTGGTGATTGGCCTAAACTCACCCAGCCGGCTTTCATGGCTTAGGCGGGACTAGAATTCACAGTCACCTGGTGACTGGCCTAAACTCACCCAACCGGCTTTCATGGCTTAGGCGGGACTAGAACTCACAGTCACCTGGTGACTGGCCTAAACTCACCCAGCCGGCTTTCATGGCTTAGGCGGGACTAGAACTCACAGTCACCTGGTGACTGGCCTAAACTCACCTAGCTGGCTTTCATGGCTTAGGCGGGACTAGAACTCACAGTCACCTGGTGACTGGCCTAAACTCACCCAACCGGCTTTCATGGCTTAGGCGAGACTAGAACTCACAGTCACCTGGTGACTGGCCTAAACTCACCCAGCTGGCTTTCATGGCTTAGGCGGGACTAGAACTCACAGTCACCTGGTGACTGGCCTAAACTCACCCAACCGGCTTTCATGGCTTAGGCGAGACTAGAACTCACAGTCACCTGGTGACTGGGCTAAACTCACCCAATCGGCTTTCATGGCTTAGGCGGAACTACAACTCACAGTCACCTGGTGACTGGCCTAAACTCACCAACTGGCTTTCATGGCTAGGGCGAGACTAGAACTCACAGTCACCTGGTGTCTGGCCTAAACTCACCCAACCGGCTTTCGTGGCTTAGGCGGAACTAGAACTCACAGTCACCTGGTGACTGGCCTAAACTCACCCAGCTGGCTTTCAGGGCTTAGGCAGGACTAGAACTCACAGTCACCTGGTGACTGGCCTAAACTCACCTAACCGGCTTTCATGGTTTAGGCAGGACTAGAACTCACAGTCACCTGGTGACTGGCCTAAACTCACCCAACCGGCTTTCAGGGCTTAGGCGGGACTAGAACTCACAGTCACCTGGTGAGTGGCCTAAACTCACCCAACCGGCTTTCAGGGCTTAGGCGGGACTAGAACTCACAGTCACCTGGTGAGTGGCCTAAACTCATCCAACTGGCTTTCATGGCTAGGGCGAGACTAGAACTCACAGTCACCTGCCGATCGGCCCAAAATCACCCAGCCGGCTTTCAGCGCTAAAGGCAGGACTAGAACTCACCATCTCCTGATTTCCCGAGAGACTTTAGGCTGAGGCGCTGTATGTCTCCTGCTGCTTCAGGGTCTGACCCCTTTGGGCACCCTCCAAGCTTGGGGGCAACTCTACGGGAAGGATCTGGACCAGGAAACCCGCAACCGCTGCAAAGACATGGAGAGCTTGCTTCGGAAAACCATGGCAGGGCAAGGTGAGACTGCGCCCAGGACGAGGGTGGGAGGGGTGTGTGGGGGGGTTGCTTCAGGCCAGGAGCCAGCCAGACTCGGGGGTGGGACATGATCCGAGGAGACCCCCTTGGTGTGAGAGCTTGTATCTCAATCTGTTTGCCTGCTTCCTTTTACAACAGGGCTCTCCAACTTGAAGACTCGTGGACTTCAACTCCCAGAATTCCCCAGCCAGCACGTGCTGGCTGGGGAATTCTGGGAGTTGAAATCCACAGGTCTTCCAGTTGCCAAGTTTGGAGACCCCTGACGGGCCTTGTTAAATAGTACAAGCCTCAAACTGGAGTAGCTTGTGAGCAGGCTGCTCTGTGCCCGTTCTGGATGCAAGTCAGGTGCTTCACCTGCCCAGGTACACAAGTGCAGAGTGACCTGGGTTCCTGGTTCTCTTGGAACCCCCTTATCTGTGGAATGGGGCTAATAGCCTGGGGGGAGGCGTGGAAGCCACGTTCAGCCGCAAATCCCAAACTGGGGTTGGCCAAACTTCTGGCTCACATTCCTTTTAGCACTAGGAGGGGGTGGGGGGTCTCTAAACTTTGGCAACCTTAAGACGTGGGCACCAACTCCCAGAATTCCTCATGCTGGCTGACTGGCTGGGGAATCCTGGGAGTTGAAGTCCCACGTCTTAAAGTTGCTGAGTTTGAAGACCCCCATTTTAGCAACTCAGAGGAGAATGGCAGGATCAGGAAGAGAGAGTGTTCAGGATCTGGCTGTCCCCCTAAATCGGATCTTCAAACTTGGCCCCTTTATGATTTGTGGACTTCAACTCCCAGAATTCCTCAGCCGGCCTCCATTTTGTTTGTTAGATTTAAGACAGGGGTCTTCAAACCTGGCCCTTTTATGACTGGTGGACTTCAATTCCCAGAATTCCTCAGCCGGACTCCATTTTGTTTGTTAGATTTAAGACAGGGGTCTTCAAACCTGGCCCTTTTATGACTTGTGGACTTCAACTCCCAGAATTCCTCAGCCGGACTCCATTTTGTTTGTTAGATTTAAGACACGGGTCTTCAAACCTGGCCCTTTTTATGACTGGTGGACTTCAACTCCCAGAATTCCTCAGCCGGCCTCCATTTTGTTTGTTAGATTTAAGACAGGGGTCTTCAAACTTGGCCCTTTTATGATTGGTGGACTTCAACTCCCAGAAGTCTTCAGTCGGCCATTTTGATGAAACTGGGGGCTTGGATCCAGACCAGGGGTCTTCAAACTTGGCCCTTTGATGACTGGTGGACTTCAATGCCCAGAATTCCTCAGCCAGCATGTCTGGCTGAGGAATTCTGGGAGTTGAAGTCCCCAAGTCATCAAAGGGCCAGGTTTGAAGACCCCTGCCCTAAATGATTGGGAGCCCCCCACCCAAAGAACAGCAGCAGTGGAAAGGGGGAGTTGACAGCCATTCCTGTCCTGGAGTTTCCCAGGACGCTCCGACTGGGGGAGAAAGGGGGGGGGCTTTGGCCTAATCCAACTCCCTTGCAGGTTCCCGGCCCCCACCTCCCCGCGGAGACCCTGCCAGCCAGCTCTTTGATGCAGAGCTCTCCGAGTGCCAAGGCCCCCCTACGAAGCCCCCCGGTGCCCGGCAGCGCCATCAAGAGCCGGAAGAGGAGGACTGCATGGGCCCCTTGCGGCCGGTCAAGAAGAGGCAGCGTCTGCTTGACCCGGCCCTGGCGGGGGAGGCCGGGAGGGCGCCCCCTGCAGACTATCAAGCCGCCATGCTTGGGCTGGGCAGCGCCCCCCTCCGCCCCCCTCCGAGCCCGGAGCGCCACAAGGGACCCCCCCGGGCAGCCCTGATCCCAGCCGACGAGTACGTGGGGGACGACTGGCTGGAGGACGACCTGGGGGCCAGCGGGGGCTCTCGGAAAAGGAGCCGCCGGAGCCCAGCCCAAACTTGGGGGTCCGACTCGGAGGACAGCGAAGGGGGAGCGCCCTGCCAGCCCCCTGAGACCACCACTCCCAGGAGGAGGAGGAGGAGACCTGCCCGCCAGAGTCGCCTGACCCTAGACCGGGTCCTGCTGGGGAGGAGCCGAGGGGCCGGACCCCCACCACGACCGGACTCTCCCGCTGAGCCCAGCGGCCTTCTGCAAGGAACTGACGACAGTCCCCCTCGGGGGGGAGACAGCCCACCCTCAGGTGCCATACAGGTGAGTTTTGGGGCTGAGCCCCACCCATCCTGAGCCAGGTGGGACCCCGAGCGGCTTCCTTAGCCTCTGCTCTCCTCTCCTTCTGCAGCTGCCGTCGCCTCCTGTCCGGGTGCGAGTTCAGGTCCAGGACAGCGTCTTCCTGATTCCGGTGCCACAAAGGTAGGGTGGAGGGTCCGGCCTGCCCCTTGGCACGTGGCTATCTCCAGGCTGGGTCGGTCAGCAGTCCAGCCAGTGCTGGCCCATCTCTCCCCTGGCTTCCCGCCAGCCGGAATAAGACAAATTGCTGCGGGACAATTCAACTTAATTATCTAAAATAATTTAAAAGATTATTTTCGTTTTCATCATTTGCAATTCATTTCGTCCTTTCTTTACTGATTTTATTCAATTTTTATACTGCTGTGGGGGGTTCCCAAGAGTCCGACACCTATAAAAAGCAGGCGAAGCTTCAGACCTGCCGACCGCCGCCTTTAATTTTGGGACCATCCCTTGTAGACCCTCCTGTGCCATCTCTAGGCCAAAAGGGGATGCTGCTTGAGGGGTGGGGTGGGGGCGCGGACTTGCTGTGCTGGCCGTAGCAAGGCAGCCCAGTTGGATTTTTTATGGCTAGTCCTCATGGAGCAACTGCCTCACTTAACAACCCCTTTGCGCTTATGACGGGTGAAAAAAATAGCCGCACGGCCAGTCTTCTCATTTATGACTTTCGCAGCCATAAATGGGAAGGAAAATGAATAAAGTGAAGGAAAGCAACGTCTTAAACCCCCTGGCAGTTTTTGCTTAGCGACACTTTGCTTAACAACCAAGTTGCTGGTTTCCATTGTGGTCACTAAACAAGGACTTGCATTTGTTTTGAGTGAGGGGTGCTATCTCAGATTCCCCAGGGAGGGAGGGTCACAGGACTCCCCCCCCCCCAATGCACTTTCTCTTTGCATAGGTCAGGGATAGGCAACCTTGACTCTTTTATGACTGGTGGACTTCAACTCCCAGAATTCCTGAGCCAGCCATGCTGAGGGGAAAGGGAGAGGTTTCCAAGCTGAGCCAGGCTGGCTCAGGAATTCTGGGAGTTGAAGTCCACGAGTCATGAGGGGCCCATAGTTCCCCCATGGTGGCTCAGGAATTCTGGGAGTTGAAGTCCAGGAGTCATAAAAGAGCCCAGGTTGCCTACCCCTGGTCTAGGACTACCTGTATAGGCCAGGAAATAGCAGTATAATTCCCTCAGATCGACATCACTCCCATTGCAGTGGTGGACGCCAAAATTAATTCCTAAAAACATTAAAAGTTACTCGTGTTATTTTAGTCTTCTCACTTGAAATCAAGTCAGATCTTAGATTTGAAAACAAATTTTAAAAACAAATCTCAGGATTTAAAAAACAAATCTCAGAATAGGTTTCTGTATAGGTATAGTATAGGGCAGGGGTAGGCAACTGTGGCTCTTTTATGACTGGTGGACTTCAACTCCCAGAATTCCTGAGCCAGCATGGGGGAACTATGGCCCCTTCATGACTGGTGGACTTCAACTCCCAGAATTCCTGAGCCAGCATGGGAGAAACTTTGGTCCCTTCATGACTGGTGGACTTCAACTCCCAGAATTCCTGAGCCAGCATGGGAGAAACTTTGGTCCCTTCATGACTGGTGGACTTCAACTCCCAGAATTCCTGAGCCAGCATGGGAGAAACTTTGGTCCCTTCATGACTCGTGGACTTCAAGTCCCAGAATTCCTCAGCCAGCATGGGGGAAACTACGGCCCCTTCATGACTGGTGGACTTCAACTCCCAGAATTCCTGAGCCAGCATGGCTCAGTTTGGAAACCTCTCTCTTTCCCCTCAGCAGGGCTGGCTCAGGGATTCTGGGAGTTGAAGTCCACCCCTGGCATAGGTGGATATTATATGGGGTGGGGGCTGGGAAGCCATTAGGCTGACCCCAGGGGAGAAGCCCCTGTGTGTCTTTCTCCGAGAGCCTCTGCTCACCGGCTTCCTCCTCCTCCTCCTCCTCCTCCTCGCAGTGAGGGCGAGAGCCGGCCAGTCTCGTGGCTGGCCGAGCAGGCCTCCCAGCGCTACTACCAGACCTGCGGCCTCTTGCCCCGGCTGACCCTCAAGAAGGAGGGGGCTCTGCTGGCCCCTCAGGACAACATCCTGGACGTCCTGCAAAGCAACGAGGAGGTGAGCGGCCGCCGGGGGGGGTGAGGCGAGGAAGGCTGTGGGGCCCTGGAAATGGGGCCAAGCTCTGAGTGGGTTGTTCATTGCTGTGCTCCTATTTGCAAGAATCTCACCAGAGTGCAGAAGGAAGGGAGGGAGGGAGGGAGAGGGAGAGAGAGAGAAGGAAAGAAAGGAAAAGAAATAGGGAGGGAAAGGAAGGAAGGGAATGGGAAGAAGGAAGAAAGAAAGATAAGAAAGAGGAAAGAGGCAGAGAAAAGCTTCAGGGGTCTGATCTCCTTTGCTTCCTCCCATTGAGAGACTTTTTATTCCCCCTCTGCTCTGGCTGCAGATTCCACCACAGCTCCCTCCCTTCCTTCCTCCTCCTGTCCCTTCCATCTCCCTTCCTTCCTTCCTTCCTTCCTTCCTTCCTTCCTTCCTTCCTTTTCCTCCCTCCCTCCCTTCCTTCCTTTCTCTCCTCCCTTCTTTCTTTCTTTTCCTCCCTTCCTTCCTTCCTCTCCTCCTTTCTTTCTTTCTTTCTTTCTTTCTTTTCCTTCCTCCCTCTCCCTCCCTCCCTCCCTCCCTTCCTTCTTTCCTTTCCTTCCTTCCTCTCTCCTCCTTTCTTTCTTTCTTTCTTTCTTTCTTTCTTTCTTTCTTTCTTTCTTTCTTTCTTTCTTTCTTTTCCTCCCTCCCTCCCTCCCTCCCTTCCAAATTTATAGGCTGCCTATCCCACTGCCTAGTGTCTCTGGGTGGTTTAAAACAGCAATAGAAGGGCCATTAGAACATTTTAAATGAACATTAAAAGTCAACCCCCCCCCCCNAGTGGAGGTGGGACCTTCTTAATCTATTAACCGCGTCCGGAGTGGGATGCCCCATCGGGCCCCAACACCCTTTCCCCCCTCCCCACCTTCCCTTGCCGACCAGAATTCTTCCGGCATCCCGCAGAGCTTCCCAGAGTTCGGCCAGAGCAGGCGGGGAGCTGGGAGGGAAGCCCTGGGATCTGGGGAAGGGAGGGAAACCAGAAGGGTGTTTTGGGTGCTCCCAACAGAAGCCACTGGTCGAAGGAGGGGGAGAGGGGTGGGTGGGCTGGGGACGAGCCCTGCCATGTGACCACGGAGGTTCTGCCCCTCTGAACGGGGGACCCCCTGTGGAAGGGGGTCCCAGGGGAACCCAGCCCTTTGGGGGGGGCTGTGCCTTCCCCTCCCAGGCCAGCTGACCCGCTCTCGCTCTCCTTCTCTCAGGTCTTGGCGGAAGTGCAGTCCTGGGACCTGCCCCCCCTGGTGGAGAGATACCGCAAGGCCTGCCAGACCCTGGCGGTGGGTAAGCATCCAGGCTGCCTCTGGAGGGCGCTGTTCTCTCTTGGTTTATTCAGGCCTCTCGGGCGCAGCCCTACTCAAATTTTAGGCGCAATTGTAAGTACAAACGGGGACCTAGAATTTTTTAAAAGCCTACTTTAGGCCAGGGCTTTTCAAGCAGTGGTACGGGTACCACCTGTGATACATGGGCACCTGGCAGGTGGTACGCGACCATCCCAGAAAAGTGGTAGCGGGGGAGGGGAATGAGCTGAGCCGGTGGCAGCACCACACAAGCCTGAGCGAGAGACGGCTGGAGCTGCAGGGCTGTCTGGGCTCAGCGGGAGCGCCAGGATCAGTGCCGCTTTCCAGCTGATCGGCGCTTCTTTGGGGCTGTCAGGGCTCAGCGGAAGCGCCAGGATCCAGCTGGAGCTCGGCGCTGATCCTGGCGCTTCCGCTGAGCCCAGAAGAAGCACCGATCAGCTGGAATGTTGCAGCATCTCCAGGGTCTTGTGATTTACATTCGGATGCTTGGCAACTGATTCATATTTATGACGGTCACAGTGTCCCAGGGTCATGTGAAGGGACCAAAACCTGCTGCAATCACCCAGCAGACGGAGGGAATAAAAACCAAACACCCCCCACCCCACCCCCGCTGCCAATCCCCAACAGAAATTCTCACAACAATGAAAACCTCGGACAGGAGGAAGAGCGCGGCTGGATGGGCAGGCAGGGGTCTTGCTCGGCTGTGGCTTGGGGGGCACTTTTTTCAGTGCCATTGTAACTTCGAACAGTCACTAAGCGAACTGTTGTAAGTCGAGGACTACCTGTACTTTATCACTTTTTTCCCTTTTTTTTTTTGGTCATCAAGTTTTTGACCCCTTGCTAGGCGACTGATGGTACTCGGATGTTGCCATATCCTAAAAGTGGTACAATGGGTGAAAAGGTTGAAAAGCCCTGTGCAGAAGGTGGCCTCAATGACTCTCTAAAAGGATGCAAATGACCAGCTGTCTGCAAGGAGTATAAATCCTTCCCTTCCCCACCACCCAGATGAAGCTTCTGGGATGAGAAGCGAAACGCCTTCAAAGAAAAAAACAAGACAGTCCAGTTGCCTCCTGGAAAAAAACATCTTTGGGATGTCTGCTTTTCCTCCCTGCAAGCAGCTTGTCTAACCTGGGTCTTTTTCTCCCCCCTCGCCCCCCCCCGACCTGCAGGAGAACAGCCGCTGCTGGTGAAGCTGCTGGAGCGCCAGGAGTCGGGTTCGTCCTTCAGCGTCTCCGGCACGGCCCTGCGCCAGCGGCATCTGCGCCCTCTCCTGCGGGCGCTCAAGCTGCAGGCTTCCATCCGCCAGCTGTGCCTCTCTGGGACCGGCCTGGGGGACGATTCGGCTGAGGAGCTCCAGGCCACCCTGAGGACCATCCCCGGGCTGAAGCGACTGGATCTCTCGGCCAACCGGCTGGGCCCCGACGGGCTGCACAAGTTGGCTGCAGGCCTTCCTGGGTCATTGACCTTCCAGGTAGGAGGGTTGTGCAAGAAGAAAGGCAGAGCATCCCTTTCATTTAAAACCTCCCATTCATAAATACTGTGTTTCTCCAAAATTAAGACCCAACCAGGAAAATAATCCCCAGCGTGATTTTTTTTTCCCAGGATGCTCGTAATATAAGCCCCACCCCACCCAAAATAAGCCCCAATTAAGATCATTAAGCAGAGACATCACCCTGCCAACAAAAGTACGTACAGTCAAGGCCATGGTTTTCCCAGTTGCAATGTACGGCTGTGAAAGTTGGACCATAAGAAAGGCTGAGCGCCAAAGAATGGAGGCCTTTGAACTCTGGTGCTGGAGAAGACTCTTACGAGTCCCCTGGACTGCAAGGCGATCCAACCGGTCAGTCCTGGAGGAGATCAACCCCGACTGCTCTTGAGAAGGCCAGATCCTGAAGTTGAAACTCAAGGACTTTGGCCACCTAATGAGAAGGAAGGACTCCCTGGAGAAGAGCCTGATGCTGGGAAAGATGGAGGGCAAGAGAAGAAGAAGGGGACGACAGAGAAGGAGGGGGCTGGATGGAGTCACTGAAGCAGGAGGCCTGAGCTTCAATGGACTCCAGAAGATGGCAGAGGACAGGAAGGCCTGGAGGAACCTTGTCCGTGGGGGTTGTGATGGGTCGGACATGACTTCCCAACTAACAACAACAACAACAAAGATCATCAGCCAGACGGAGGCATTTAGTACCGTATTTCCCTGAAAATAAAACCTACCCGAAAAATAAGCTTTCATCCATCTTTGGGAGCAAAAATTAATATAAGACCTGGTCTTATTTGGGGAGAAACACGGTAGTCACCAGGGCATAAGCCCTGCGGTGCTAAGTAGGGAAAGGAACTAAGAAAAAGGAAGTCAGGAGAAAACGTCCGTGGAGGTTCTCCATCGTCCAGGTCACAGTTGTCCCAAAGGTGCTTTTTCCAAAAGGCAACTGGACTTTCTCGGGGTTTTTTTCATAATAATAATAATAATAATAATAATAATAATAATGATGATGATAAAGTTGGAAGGGACCTTGGAGGTCCTCTAGTCCAACCCCCTGCTCAGGGAGGAAACCCTATACCATTTCGGACAAATGGCTGTCCAGTCTCTTCTTAAAAACTTTCAGTGTTGGAGCATTCACCGCTTCTGGAGGCAGGTGGTTCCCCTGGTTAATTGTTTGAATATAATTATATTAATTATATAAATTAATTATTTGAATATAATCTTGTTCTATTTCCTAAGATCTAGCCTTCTTAAGCTAAACTCATTCTGGAGTCCAACTCTCAACCGTGGATGAGAAACCAGCGTGGAGGCAGTAGCTTTCAAATTAACTTTCCTGACTCTCTAGTTGCTGACCGGTACTTGGCTGTCCCTTCACCCTCTTTCCTCCTTCCAGAACTTAGAAGAGCTGGACCTCAGCTTGAACCCCTTGGGTGACCGCTGCTCCCAGTCCCTGGCCTCGCTGGTTCAGGCCTGCCCTGTGTTGGGCACCCTTCAATTGCAAGCCTGCGGCCTTGGCCCCACCTTCCCGGAGCCTCACTCTCTCCTGCTGGCCGGCGCCTTGAAAGGTAGGAAGACAGGACAGGTATGGTGGTCAGGGGCACCTCTGGCTACTGAAAGATAAGGGGTGGTAGGAGGTCTTCAGACTCAAGGGGGCTTTGTTGAGGAGGGCCGCCCCTCTGTCAAGTTTTGAAGCACGGTTTTGCTGGTATGACTCATTCTGCTTCTCAGCTTGCCAACAAATGGGGGTGGGTGGGGGGAAAGGGATTGGAATGCAGTCTTCAAAGACTAAGAAGCCAGACCGTGAGACTCAAGGACGTTACACCAGGCGTCTGGCTAGTCCAGGTCACCAGGCTCCTAGCCTCCTCCGCCATTTGCAGAGAGAGAGACAGAGAGAGGGACTTGCACTCCCCCCCCCGTGTGTGTGTGTGTATGTGTAAGTAAAAGAGAGTGGCCTCACGCTGTTCTTGGACGAGCTGACAAGCTTATTGGGTGGGGCTCCTCCCTTGGCTGCGTCTCTGCAGGAAGCAGGAAGGGCAGGAGAGAGCCAGCCCAATAAGAATTGTGTCAGCTTGTTGGAGAAGAAGCAGAAGATTGGAGAGAGGGAGAGGGGGGAGAGAGAGAGAGGGAGAGGAAAGAGAGAGAAAGAGAGGGAGAGGAAAGAGAGAGGGAGAGCGAGAGAAAAAGAGAGGGAGAGAGAGAAAAAGAGAGGGAGAGAGAAAGAGAGGGAGGGAGAGGGAGAAAGAGGGGGGAGAGAGGAAAGAGAGAGAAAGAGAAAAAGAGAGGGAGAGGGAGAGAGAGAACTCATGCACAGCAGCCTCTACTTTTTTTTAATTAAACTCTGTGCGTGTGTACGCGCACGTTTTGCAGCTCCCAGTGTTTTCTTTTCTCTGGGAAACGGGTCCAAGTGGCTCTTTAAGGTTGCAGACCCAGAGACACTTTCTCATAGCATAGTTGATTGGGCAACGTGATCTTGCCAAGAGGGAGGAAGGAAGAAGGAGAATTCTATACTTTTCTTATAGGGGTTTGGGTTGGGGGGGGTCTTGCCAGAGCTGGCTTCGCTTTCCTACGTGCCGAAGCGATGTACTCAATAAAGTTTTGCATTAGGACAGAGGTCCCCCCAACCTTTGGGGCACCAGGGACCGGTTCCGTGCAGAGAGGTTTCTCCGCGGACCAGAGCGTGCGTGGTTTTGTGTGCTGCCTGCATCCTGTGAATGGGGCTTTGCTTGTTTATGCGGACCGGTTGCTGGCATGCCGCTGCCCGGTACCGGTCCACGGCCCTGGAGTTGGGGGACCCCTGCCTTAGGAGATTGGACGGTCCCCAGGTTGCTTGCTTGGTTGGGTTCGCAAAAAGTCCAGCCACGGTGATGTTGTCCCTGTCTGTGGCCCTCAGTACTTCTCCTGTCCTCCCTCGTTCCCGTCCTCTGGCCCTCAAACATCTGGAGATGTTCCACCTCCTCCCGTTTCCTCGCAGGAGCTGTGAACCTCAGGAGGCTCTCTCTGTCCCACAATGCCCTGGGCTCCCGCGGCCTTGGGGTGCTGCTTAAAAGCCTGCCCTGCCACTCGCTCACCCATCTGGAGATGGGCTCCCTGGACCTCCGGGCGGGCGACCGGCCGCAGCTGAGGGACACCGTGGTTAGGTATCTGATGCAGGTGGGTGTTCTCCCATCGCCCGGAGACGGTCTGCCTTGTGAAATTGGGGGGGGGATGGGGAGAAGATCAAACACACAGGACCCCACCCACCCCCTCTCCTCCCAGCCTCAGTTCTGAATCTTGCCCCTTCTCCGGACAGGAAGGCTGCGTTCTGACCCACCTGGGATTCTCTGGGAATCACCTGGATGATGAGGATGTGTCAGAGCTAGCTAGGTAAGAAAGCTGCTTTTGCCCAGGTGTGAGGAGGTGGAAGAGGGAGGGGCCTGAGAACAAGTCCTGGGGGGGGGGACCATCATCCCAGGCTGCCTTGGGGGCAACGGTGGGGGGGAGTCCTTTGTGCTTCTGCTGCGGTGCTTTTAGCCCTCCTTGTTGCCCTCCGACAGGAGATGCTCTCTGGGCTGCTGGGCTTCTGAAAATGAGGGGTGGGCTCTTCGTCACAGCTGGAGCCCAAAAGCAAGCAAGTCCTCCTAGTATAGAATGATGGAAGGAGGGGAGGGGTCTCCTTCCCCAGCAGCCCAGTGGAGGTTAATGGGACTGGAGTTGTGCTTCAGGTTGCTCTGCGGACCCTTCTCCTGAACCTTGGAAGCAGACCACCTTCCAAGCACATGTGCCTGGTTTCCTGCCTGAGCAGGGGGTTGGACTAGAAGACCTCCAAGGCCCCTTCCAGGTCCTGTTCTTCTGGCTGCATCGGAGGACTGCCTGGGGAATCCTGGGAGTTGAAGTCCAAAAGTCATAGAGCTCCTAAGGTTGGGCACCCAGGGCGTAGCTTCTCCTGCTTGAGCAGGGGGTGGACTAGAAGACCTCCAAGGCCCCTTCCAGCTCTGTTCTTCTGTTAAGGGTCTCCTGCTTGAGCAGGGGGTTGGACTAGAAGACCTCCAAGGTCCCTCCCAGCTCTGTTCTATGATTCTGTAAGGGTCTCCCGTTTGAGCAGGGGGTTGGACTAGATGACCTCCAAGGTCCCTCCCAACTCTACTCTGACTGAGGAAGGAACACAAGCCCTTCCTAGGAAGAAATAACAATTCAGGAGAATGTAACCCTGAGCAGGGGGTGGACTAGAAGACCTCCCAGGTCCCTCCCAGCTCTGTTATTCTGTTAAGGGTCTCCTGCTTGAGCAGGGGGTGGACTAGAAGACCTCCAAGGCCCCTCCCAGCTCTGTTATTCACATCCACAACTCAGAAGCTGCTCTCTCTCCGCAGGAGCCTCCCTGCTTGCCTGTCCTTAGTCTCGCTGGACCTGTCGGCAAACCCCGCCATCGGCCTGGTTGGCCTCCGGACGCTGCTGGTCACCCTGGAGGAGCGGAAGCGAGGACTCCGGTTCCTTAGCCTGGCCGGTGAGCTTGCCGGGGTTTTCTACGGCCGAAGGCTGCAGCCACGGTCGCCTGAGCCAGGGTGTCACGTCACTCCGTCCTGGAGTTTAGTGCCTGTAGTATGATGGGTAACTCCGGCCTCTATCTCCTCTGAGGGGACCTTGGTGCTCTCTGAGCTGGGTGGTTTTCCTGCAGACATTTCATCACCTAACTAGATAACATCATCAGTGCTAGAGGGGAAGGGAGGTTAGTGGAGAGGAGGGGGAAGCAGAGGAGGGGTGGAGGAGAAAGAGGAGGAGGAGTGTGGGATCCTTGGTGCTCTCTGAGCTGGGTGGTTTTCCTGCAGACATTTCATGACCCAACTAGGGAACATCATCAGTGCTAGAAGGAAAAGAGGTGGGGGGGGAGGACTGTGGAATCTTTGGTGTCTGAGCTGGGTGGTTTTTCTGCAGACATTTCATGACCCAACTAGGTAACATCAGGGCTAGAAGGGAGTGACAATTGAGGAGGAGGAGGAGGAGGAGGAGGAGGAGGAAAGGACTGTGGGGTCCTTGGTGCTCTGAACTTGGTGGTTTTCTTATTATTATTATTATTATTATTACTTTAATTTATACCCCGCCCTTCTCCCGAAGGACTCAGGGCGGCTTACAGGCAGTAAAAACGGAACTATACAATAAATATCTAAAAACAATTAAAATATATATTAAATAAGCCTGTTATTTTTAGAAAAGTTATAAAATCCCTATTAAAATCCCTATACAATCCCCCCCCTAGGCCAATCCCGCTTGATGGAAAATGTCTTGCAGACATTTAGGTAACATCAGTGCTATTAAGGAATCGAGTTTGCTCAAATCCCATTCCTTACAAGCCTTGATGATGTTACCTAGTTGGGTAATGAAATGTCTGCAAGAAAACCACCCAGCTCAGAGAGCACCAGGGATTCTACAGTCCTCCTCCTCCTCCTCCTCCTCCTCCTCCTCCTCTCCATAGACCCCACTCCCTTCTAGCACTGATAAAATTACCCAGTTGGGTAATGAAACGTCTGCAAGAAAACAAGCAAGCTCAGAGATTACCAGGGGCCCCATAGCTCCTCCTCCTTTCTCCTTTCCGCAAACCCCCCTCCCTTCTAGCACTGATGATGTTACCTAGTTGGGTCATGAAATGTCTGCAAGAAAACCACCCAGCTCAGGGCGCACCAAGGACCCCCCAGTTCAACCCGGAGCTATATTCCTCTCTATTTGCGTCTGTCCTTCACAAAACGAAGGAAGCAGCTCGGTCTGCTTGTCTTTCACAGCCCAAGTCCTCTCCCTGCCCAAACGCGCTCCCTCCTAGGAACCAGGCGCAGGAAAGCATAGAAATTTAATGAATAGATTCTCCCAGATCAATTTTTTTCCTCGCTTGCCAGTTGTCTTCTGGAGTCACTTCACAACGGAAGCAAGGATACCATTGAAAGAAACCGGGCGATGCTTTGACTAAAAGTTCCCCATTTTTGATCTGCACGCTTGTTCATTTGAAGCTTTTTTTATTTGTAGGTATCGAAACGTTTCAACCGCTCTGGGCTTTTAACTTTCGACGCTCACCGTTTTACTCATTGTTTCATTGCGTTATTTATGGCATTGTAAGCGGCTCGGAGCCAGCTCGACCGTGAGATGGGCGATATATAAACTTAATATAAATGAATACATACCACCTTTGCTGCCTGACAGGGAGAGCGGGGCCTGGGTTCAAGACGGAGTTCCCAGGAGATGCCCCTAACAGGCTTCCCTCTCCCTCCCTTTTCCTTTAGGCTGTTCTGTCCGTGGACCCCTGGAGACCGTCACGTGGACGAAGCTCAGCTCCCTGGTGGGTCAGCTGCAACTCTGCGGCCGGCAGCTAAGCAGGAGCGATCAGCGGGACGTGGCTGAGCACTGGCGTGGCCCGGCCAACACTTCCCTCCACTCCGTCACCCGCCACCACAAACTCTTCTGCCAGAGTGTGTAGCGCAGGCATCCCTCAAGACGGGGGGTCCACCGATCGAGGAGCCGGGCGACACGGGCTGCACGCCACTCACGCCGTCCCAGTCCGGCGGAATCTCAGTGGAACGTGTGGAATCGCACAGCCAACTCAAGAGGACACGCACACACACATACCTGAGTTGAAGACGGGCTGCGACTTGTGTAATTGAGGACTTTGTGCCTGCAGAGCGAACTTGGGTGGGAGACAAAAGCGGTCGCATCCCTTCCGTGGACCAGGCTGCTGTGTTTTAACCAATAATTCTTATAATGCTGCCCCTCCTGCGTCGAACCGTCCTCCGTTATTTATTGAGCGCCGCTGCTTCTCTGGCTGTAAGTAGAGCTGGGGAGGGGTGCAGCCCCCCCCATTTCAGCTTTTTTGGGGGGACAGGGAAGGGAGGTGAAACTTTACTCGTAACTTTGAGAAGCGGATAGGATGGGAAGCGACCTCGGAATAAATCGGGCAGCTTGCCAGCGTCAATGGTAAGAAAGGTTTTATTTGTTTCAGACCCACAAAAGTTGCCTCTCTTGAGGCGAAAGCAAAACCCAAATAAATTACACGCAGCCCCCTCCTCCCAATATCCTACTGCCCCCCCAATTCAAGGCTGCAGAAGGAGGGGCTGGTCCCGTCCCACCCGTGGGGTAAATATCTGCCCCGCGACCCACGCGAGGAGAAGAGGGATAAACCGTAGAGCAGGGGTAGTCAACCTTGGCTCTTTTATGACTCGTGGACTTCAACTCCCAGAATTCCTGAGCCAGCTTAGCTGGCTCAGGAATTCTGGGAGTTGAAGTCCACAAGTCATAAAAGAGCCAAGGTTGACTACCCCTGCCGTAGAGACTGAGCAGGGCGTCTTTCTCCGGAGGAAGGGAAACTAGAGTCCTTGCATTCAGACAGGCAGGCAGACACCTGACGGCCTTCGGAAGCCTGGGTGGGCGTAGTGGACGGAGCCCAGGGGCACCTGCTGCGTTTCCCCCTCCGGAGGGCCCGGCCTCCCTCCCTCTCTCTCTCTCGGCCTCAGGAGTGCAGGAAGCGGTTGAAGGCGTTGTAGGCCGACTCCAGATCGAAGAGCATCTGGCGGACTTGAGAGTCGTCCAGCTCGTCGGAAGCCGACATCCCGCTCAGGGTCTGCAACCTAGAGAGAAAGGGGTCTTGAGCCACAGGGGGAGGAGGGGGGACCTGCTTTGCCTCCCCAGTCTCTCTGGGAGGGGGGGAGGAAAGACTAATCAAATTAATAATAATAATAATAATAATAATAAATAATAATTAATAGTAAAGTTGGAAGGGACCTTGGAGGTCATCTAGTCCAACCCCCTGCTCAGGCAGGAAACCCTATACCATTTCAGACAAATGGCTGTCCAGTCTCTTCTTAAAAATCTTCCAGTGTTGGAGCATTCACCGCTTCTGGAGGCAGGTTGTTCCATTGTTCTCACTGTCAGGAAGTTTCTCCTTAGTTCTAGGTTGCTTCTCTCCTTGACCTGGGAGGCCATCTAGTCCAACCCCCTGCTCAGGCAGGAAACCCTAGACCATTTCAGACAAACTAAGGAGAAACTTCCTGACAGTGAGAACAATTAACCAGTGGAACAACCTGCCTCCAGAAGTGGTGAATGCTCCAACACTGGAAGTTTTTAAGAAGAGACCGGGCGGTCATTTGTCCGAAATGGTCTAGGGTTTCCTGCATGAGCAGGGGGTTGGACTCGATGACCTCCAAGGTCCCTTCCAACTTTATTATTTATTTATTATTATTATTATTATTATTATTATTATTGGCTGTCCAGTCATTAATACAGTAAGCAGCCCAATAAAGCAACTGCCAGAACCGCTCCTGCTGACGTTGGCAGGGCAAACCACGTGTATCAACAGAGAGAGCGGATCCCACTCCCTCCCAGCACGGATGACGTTACCTAGTCGGGTAACAAAAGGTCTCCAAAAAAAAAAAAAAAAAAAAGACCCCACAGTTGTCCTTGTCCTCCTCTTGTCTCCTTTCTCCACCACCACCACCACCACCACGCTTGTAGCACGGATGGTGTTCCCTAGTTGGGTCATGAAACGTCTGCAGGACAACAGCCAAGCCCGGAGAGCACCCAGGACCCCCAGAAGGAGAAAAGAATCGGCTTCTGTTTCTGCATCTCCTCTGGCTTTACCCAGCCCTGCCTCTCCGGCCCCCCTCCCCGCCTTCCAAGGGGACGGAGGGGCAGACACTGGCAAGGGTGCCGTCGGCCCAAGGCTTTCTGTCCCCCCCCCCCCAGCAAAGAGCTCACCACTGGCTGACTTTCTGCCGCCCCTCGAAGTCTGGGGGCAAGTGGCTCATGCGGTTCATGGTTTCCATCAACTCTCGCAGGTCCGGCTGGATCTGTGGAGGAGGAGGAGAAAGAGGGTCATCATCCCCCCTGGCTCGGTTATTATTATCTCCTGGGGAAGGGGAAGGGAGAGGAAACGGGGAGGAGGGATGGGAAAGGAGGGAGGGAGGATAGAAGGATAGGAAGAAGGCAGGCAGGAAGGGAAAAGTGAGGAAAGAAGGAAGGGAAGGAAGGAAAAAGTCTGGGAGAGGAAGGAAGGGAAAAGTGCAGAAGGAAGGGAAGTGAGCAAAGGAAGGGAAGGAAGGAAAAGGGAGAAAAGGAAGGAAAAAGTCGGAGAGGAAGGAAGGGAAAAGTGCAGAAGGAAGAAAGGAAAGGAAGGAAGGAAGGAAAAAGTCTGGGAGAGGAAGGAAGGGAAAAGTCGGAGGGAGAGGAAGGAAGGGTAAAGTGCAGAAGGAAGGATGAAAGAAAGGAAAGAGGCAGGAAGGGAAGGGAGCAAAGGAAGGAAGGGAAGGAAGGAAAAGGGAGAAAAGGAAGGAAAAAGTCGGAGAGGAAGGAAGGGTAAAGTGCAGAAGGAAGAAAGGAAAGGAAGGAAGGAGGGAGGGAGGAAAGGAAGGAAAAAGTCGGAGGGAGAGGAAGGGAAAAAGGAGGGAGGAAGGGAAGAAGGAAGGAAAAGGGGAGGGAGGAAGGAAGGGAAAAGTCGGAGGGAGAGGAAGGAAGGGAAAAGTGCATAAGGAAGGATGGAAGGAAGGGAAGTGAGGAAAGAAGGGAAGGAAGGAAAAGGGAGGGAGAGGAAAGGGAAAGTGAGGGAAGGATGGAAAGAAGGGAATTATTGGATTTGGAGGAACGGGGCACAGACCCTGCTTGTACACGGGCAGAGGTAACCCTTTTCGCAACCCCCTCCCTGAACGTTGTGGCTTGAGGGCCAGGGAGCAGCCGGGGGGGGGGAGGCTCAGGCTATTCCCCCCAGAGTCGATTGGGGGGACGAGGACCCCACCTCGCTTTGCTCACCTCATCCATGGCCCGGATTTCCAAGCGCAGCTTGTCCATCACGGTGATAAAGAGCTGGGAGAGAGAAGAGAGGGAGAGAGAAAGCCGCCCCGGTCAGGCACCTGGCCGGATGCATCCTACGAAGAATGCCCCCCCGGGGTCTCCCCCCCAACACCTACCGAGACAATGTCCGCGATGCAACGGTTGAGGTTGCCCTTGTCGTCCTTGATGGTGATGGGCCGGTCCTCCTTGATCCTCTCCATGGCCAGCGGGCAGTCGAGCTGGGAAGGGAAAGAGGGGCTGCTTCTCAGAGAGATTCCCCCCCCACTTCCCCTGAACAGGCCTGGCCCCCCTCCCTCCGTCACCGGGCGGAGCACAGGCGCTCTTTCATGCAAACACCCTCCCCCTGGTTTGATCTCTTACTCGAAACCTGCGGCAAAAGTCATCGATGGAGTTGATCTCCAGCCCTTGCACCTGCTTGAAGGCGGCCTTGTACTGGACCAGGAGGCGAGAACAGGCGGCTGTGTACCTGCCAGGAAGGGAGGGGCACAAAAGTGAGTAGCAATGGGGGGGGGAGGTCAAGGCTTCCCTCGTCCAGCCGTGTCCGACTCTGGAGTGTGCGTGCGTGCTCATCTCTGTTTCTTGGCCAACTGTTGTCAGAAGACAATTTCCATGGTCATGTGGTCAATGATGGTCAACTAAGACCGGGTCTTAATTTTGGAGAAACACGGTAGTGGTACCTATTTATCTGCTTGCATTTGCATGCTTTAGAACTGCTAGTGCAGGGGTCGGCAACCGTAAACATTCAAAGAGCCACTTGGACCCGTTTCCCACAGAAAACACTGGGAGCCGCAAAACTCGTGCGTGCACGCATGCCAGAGGGTGCAGGCTTGAAGAATTTAATTAAAAAGAAATAGAGGCTGCTGTGCATGTTTTTTCTCTCTCTCTCCCCCTCTCCAATCTGCTCACCTGGCAAGCTGGCTTCACGCTGTTCTCCGACAAGCTGACATTCTTATTGGGCTGGCTCTCTCCTGCCCTTGGTCTGCCAATCCTGTTCCCCTACTCAGTGTGCGTGTGAGAGAATGTGTGTGTGTGTGAGAGAGAGCTGCTGCTTGCTGCTGCTTCCTGTGTAGACACAGCAAAGGCAGGAGCCCGCCCAATAAGCTTGTCAGCTTGTCGGAGAACAGCGTGAGACCAGTCTCTTTTTCACACACACACACACACACACACACACACACAGAGAGAGAGAGAGAGAGAGAGAGAGAGAAGGGAAGCGCAAGTGCCTGTGTGTCTCTCTCTGCAAATGGCGGAGGACTGGCAGCCGCAGGAGAAGGCTTAAAGAGCTGAGCCATGGTGTCCCCTTCAGCAAATATGAGGGGTCTTTTATTTATTTAAAACATTGTTTACGGCCGCCCACCTTTCAGCCAATTCTGGGCAGCTCCCAATTAAAGTTTAGAAAACAAAATCCCTTTAGAAATACAGCCAGTTAAAACAGTAACAAAATATTTAAAATATTTATTTGTATGTGTAGTCTTGTCCCTCCTGGACAGTGGCTGGTGAGAACTAAGTTTGTACAGATAGTCCTTGACTTACAACTGTTCGTTTAGCGACCGTTTGAAATTACAACAGTCTGAAAAAAAGGCGATTTATCTCCATTTTTCACACTCGCAACCATCACAGCATTCCCCGCGGTCACCTGACCAAAATGGCAACTGGCTCGTATTTATGACGGTTGCATAAATGGGGTCCCGTGATCCCCTTCTGCGACCTTCTGACAAGCAAAGTCAATGAGGGATTCACTTAATGACCGTGTGGTTAACTTAACAACTGCAGTGATTCATTTAAGAACTGTGGCAGGAAAAGTCAATTGGGGCAAAAGTCACTTAACAAATGTCTCGCTTAGCAACAGAAACGTTGGGCTCAATTGTGGCCGTACGTCAAGGACTACCTGCCTTGCCGCAGATGGAGCAGGCTGACAAGAATACCTCCAGGCCGCTGGAAGTCTAATGATCCATCAAAGGAGGGTTAATTTCTGCTGTCTCTTAATTGCTCCGAATCCTTTGATGAGTGTCCCCCGGGAAAAAACGGGCTCTCCTATCAGATCCCACCCCGATCTCTAGAAGCATCTGAGGAGGCCGGGCAGGATCACCACCTGGTCCTTCATTTCAGGAGGTTTTTCTCTGGGCAACAGGCCTGTTCTCTCCATTTTCCTTCCTCCTCTGTACATACAATGGTACAGGGCCCCCTGCTTGAGAGGGGATTGGACTAGAGGACCTCCAAGATCCCACCCAACTCGTGTCTTTCTATTATACTTGCCGTGAGGCCTTCACACACTTACTCATTGGGGTTGACACAGTCCTTGATATAGGCCTTCTCCAGGGCTTGCATAGTCTTCACCACAGCGAACAGCTCGGCCATGTTGTCGTATCTGAAACCAAGGGGAGAGCAGTAGCACCGCTTCCACCAACCAAGGCTGGCCTTCCCAGGTGGGACAGGGGCTGGTTGGCCCAGAGGCCCCTTCTTGGGTTGCTCTGCGCACTCAGCCCTGGGCTGCTGGTCCTCCCTGCCCCTCCCCAGTTGTAAACATGGTGGCCAGATGCACTGTGGGGAACACCTTGACCTCCACTGGCTCCCCATTCAGAGATGCCTCCTAATCTGTACAGAGCGGGGCTCCCCAACCTTGGCCACTTTAAGACTTGTGGACTTCAACTCCCAGAATTCCCCAGTCCACAAGTCTTAAAAGTGGCCATGGTTGGAGACTTCTGGCACAGGGGGATCATTGGGGGGAGGGAAGAGGAGGACACAGAGTTACTGGATAGCAGGATGGGTGGCATATAAAGTCAGTAAATAGAAAGGAGAAAGAATAACAGCAGCACTTAAACTTATATACCACTTGACAGAGCTCACAGCCCTCTCTAAGGAGGTTAAAAGGGTCAGCATGTTGCCCACAATCTGAGTCCTCATTTTACTGAGGAAGGAAGGAAATGTAAATACAAGAAAGAAAAAGGAAAGAAAAGGAAAAAAGAAAGAAAGAAAAAGGAAATGCAAATACAAGAAAGGAAAGAAAAAGAAGAAAGGAAGGAAAGAGAGAAAAAGAAAAAAGAAAAAGAGGAAGAAAAGAAAGGAAGGAAATGCAAATCAAGAAAGAAAAAAGAAAGAAGGAAAGAAAAGAAAGGAAATGCAAACACAAGAAAGAAAAAGAAAGGAAGGAAAGAGAAAAAGAAAAGAGGAAGGAAGGAAATGCAAATCAAGAAAGAAAAAAGAAAGGAAGGAAATGCAAATATGAGAAAGAAAAAGGAAAGGAAAGAAGAGAAAAAGAAAAAAGAAAAAGAAAGAGAAGGAAAGAAAAGAAAGGAAGGAAATGCAAACAGAAGAAAAAAAGGAAGGAAAGAAAAAGAAAAGGGAATGCAAATACAAGAAAGAAAAAGGAAAGAAAAGGAAGGAAGGAAAGAAAGAAAAGAGGAAGGAAGGAAATGCAAATCAAGAAAGAAAAAGGAAAGGAAGGAAGGAAAGAGAAAGAAAGAAAGAGGAAGGAAATGCAAATACGAGAAAGAAAAAGGAAAGAAAAAGAAGGAAGGAAGGAAGTCAATGCAAACAAGGAAGAAAAGAAAACCTAAAGGACAAAATACTCACTTTTCCCGTTCCCGGGCATTTTTGTACAGCTTCACTTCCTGCAAGGAAAAGAAGTTCAGAGCGGCCCCCCGCCCCCCGCCCGGGGAGGGCGGGCACTGTGTCTGTGGGGGGGAGGAGGCTACAGAGAAGACCCCCCCCCATCCCGCCCTCTTTCAAGCCACAGCAACGGCAGCCCCCCGTCCCCAAGGGGTGGGTGGGAGGACACACAGACACAACTACACACACACACACACACACACACACACAGAGGCAGGGAAAGACACCCCCCCCCCCGTCTCTGCCCCGACTTGCCTCGTAGAGCTCCGGCTTGTTCCCGGGGGCTGAAAGCGGAAGGGAGGGGAGAGGTGAGCGTCGCCGCCCGCCAGCCACGGGCCCCCCCTCTATGCCCCCCCCTCCCGCCCTCCCTCCGGCCCGAGGCCTCACCTCCCATCCCGGCGTTGGCGGGGATCCCGTGGAACATCCTGCCGGCTGGCTGGGGCGGCGGGGCCGCGGGCAGCTGCGGAGAACGACGGCGGCGGCGCTAGCGAGAAGCGGGGCGGGCCGCGCCTCCCTCCGGCCCGGGGAGCAGCTCTCTCCTCCTCCTCCTCCTCCCGGCCGCCCACCCCGCGGAGACCCCGGCCTCACCCGCCGCCTCCGCCGCGCAGGCCCGCTTCCCGGAAGCTCGGCCGATCGGCTGGCCGGGTCTGCCGCTCCTCTCTTCCTCCTCCTCCGCTCGGCGCTCGATTGGACAGGCGGGGGCTGCGCGCGCACCTCGGCCGGGGAGCTACGAGAAGAGAAGAGCAGAGCGGCGTCGGCGCTGTGTGTGTGAGAGGTTCCGGGTTCCCACTGAGAAAGCCCCGCCCTCTCCTCCTTTCGGGGCGACGCTGCGCGGAAGGAAGGAAGGAAGGAAGAGCCCGACGCCGCGAATGCGGGAGAACCTGAGGTATCTCCTCCGTCTACCCCCCTCCACCCCTCACGTACGCCTTTTATTCGGTCCCGTTGCCCGGAAGGGAACCCGGGCCCGCAAGGCCGAGCCGGAAACGGCTGAGGGGGGGAGAAAAGCGAGAGGAGCGAAAAAAAAGCGGGAGCCGCCTTTCCACCGCCGGGAGGAGAAAAGCGGGGCGGCGGCTCTGACGGGCGCCCCACCACTACTGGGGCTGGGGAGCGTCGCGTCGGGGCCGGAGCGTCGCTCACCTTCCCTTCCGTGGCTCTCCCGCGGCTGGGCACGCCCACTTCCGGTCCTGCGACCATAGACGCGGGAAGGGGTAGAGCGGGCGGCTTCCGGGTGCCTGGCGCGGGGCCTGTCGGGACAGCGCGGGCTTTCCCTGAGGAGGGCGAGGGCGGCGCTTGCCTGCTTTCCCTCAGAAACGCGCTGAGGCGGATCTTGCGCGGCCTTTCGCCTCCGCCTCATCCGCCCTTCAGGCCCGCGTCTGCGGCCGCTCCCGTCCCTCCCTCCAGGCCTCAGCCGTCAGGAAAGGCAGCCCGCGTGGAAGCCGCGCTCGGGGAGAGACGACAAAGCCCATCGTCCACAGCAGGTAGAATGAAACCCTTCGGCGTATTAATTTAACAAATGATACATGATAAAAGTCGGGGGAGGGAAAGGAAGACCTGCCTGGGGGGGAAAAAACGTTTTTTGGATGTCGATTTTGCTCTCTTTTGTCCTTCCTGCCCTCTTTCTAGGCTCAGGAGCCCTGCTTTTTCCTCCCTCTCGCTCAAAATGTCTGTCACAACCGCCAGGGTGTGATACTCACCAGCAGGAGATTTATTGTGCTTTTTTAAAAAAAAGTTTCATTAGATTTAATAGGATTAGGGATAGAATGGGGTCAGGGTTAGGGTTTAGGCCAGTGTTTCTCAACCTTGACCATTTTAAGGCATGTGGACTTCAACTCCCAGAATTCCACAGCCAGCAACGCTGGCTGTGGAATTCTGGGAGTTGAAGTCCACATGCCTTAAAATGGTCAAGGTTGAGAAACACTGGTTTAGGCTGAGGTTGGGGTCAGGATTGGGGTGATCCCCCAGTAACATTTCCAATATTTAGCAAACAGAATATTGTCTGGGTACATATATTTAAATGACAATAATTGTCTGGGTACATATATTTAAATGACAATAATTAATATAATAAATTAATAAATATAATAATATTTATTTAAAAATATTTAAAAATAAAATATAATAAATAAAGATAGCAGTAGTAAATACGATTAGTTATTGTGGGAAGTCAGCGCCCCCCCCCCAGAGAAGAAAATATTAAAAGGGCAGAAAAATATATTTCCTCCAAGGATCTTAAAGAGTCAGAAAAGCAGGCCCAGTTTTTTCTTAATAGCCCCAAGTCTGCCTCCCCCAGGCAGAAACCAGCTCTGTAGAGATGCAGATGTAAATCCAGGGAGCTAGGAGATTAAGAAGACAAAAGATCTAAAATCTGCATACCCCACCTGGGACAGGACAAGGCAGGATTAACTCGCAAAGGGCACACCCAAACTCAGGTCAGAATACATGACACAGGAAATAGCCTCGAAACAGGAACAGGAAATAACTCCAAACAAAAGGCTCCAGAGAGTATCAAAATCCACTTCCTACATGTGCTCAGTCCTTTTTTCACCTCTCTTGCTGCCAGAACTATCTTCCTGTCTGGCTCTCCTCTCCAATAAACTACAACTTTCTTCCCAAAGCAGTTGCCATGTTTATTCCCACCTTGGATGAAGACTTTTCTTCCAACATATCATAAGCAGTATTAATCAATCAACCCAGACATGTCAAACACAAGGCCCGGGGGCCGGATGCGGCCCGCGAATTGGTTTCATGTGGCGAAGCCATCCTGGAAACAGTGAGGGAACGGGTCCCGCTGCCTAGGCCCTGGCCCAGGCCGGCCGGGAGCCAATGTACAATTTTGTGGTGGCCATCTATGCTGAAACACATTCAGTCTTAGCTCCACAAGGCCGTCTGGAAACAGTGAGGAACCAGCCCCTGCCACGTCGGCCTCGCCCCCTGGGTGCATGCTGGGGAGGGGTCACCCTTTGTGAGGAATGAAGAAATGGACCATGCCTTGGTGCTTGCCCCAGTCCCACCCCTTTCTGCCAGAGACCCTCAGATCTGTCCCACTCCTGCCCAGGCCCCCACTGGCACCCTTGACGCGAACAATGTAGAGCTGGCCATGCCCACTCCATCCATGCCACCCAGTAGGCCACGCCCATCCTGACCACACACACCCCCAAGGGCAACCCCAATGCTGATGCGGCCCTCAATGAAATTGAGTTTGACACCCCTGAATCAATCCATAACATCCTCCTTACTAATATGTATTCAGAATTACATATCGCCTTCCTTTCTCTCTAATTCTGCTTTTTGACCCCCCCGCTAGGCCAACCATGGATAAATTGTGCAAGAAAAGAAAAATTTCAGAAGAACACAGAATGTTTAATGATACGTGGACATATTCATTTGCTTTCACTACTGACAAGACTGGTTTACCGGTATGCTTAATATGTGGTGAGAAATTGGCAAACAACAAAAAGTCGAATGTTGCAAGACATTTCCAGAATAAACACGCAGCCTTTGCTGAAAAATATCCAGATGGAGACGAGAGAAAAAAAGCCGTTTTGGAACTGATGCAGAAGGCTGATCTGAAGATTGATCTGAGCAAAAATCATTTTAAGAAGAACTCTGCAAATTCAACTACATATGCTAGTTTTGTGGCCGCTCAGGAAATAGTCAGGCACGGGAAGCCGTTCACAGATGGAGATTATATCAAAGAATCATTCGTGAAGATTTCAGAACATCTATTCTCGGACTTCGAAAACAAGAGTGAAATTGTGCAGAAAATCAGAGATATGCCTCTCTCTGCAAAGACTGTCAAAGACAGAACCGTAGAAATGGCAGAAAACATCACCAGACAGCAAATTAAAGACATCAATTCAGCGGTGGCGTACTCAATCGCCTGTAATGCATCCAAAGAACAAGTAGCCCTGTTCTGCAGATATGTGAACTCTGCTGGGCCACAGGAAGAAATGATTGAGTTGATACCACTAAAAGGCCAAACCCGTGGAGGGGACATCTATGAGGCTGTCCTGGATTATTTAAGAACCAATGAAATAAACACCACCCACCTGGTGTCAGTGGCTACTGACGGGGCACCGAGTATGACAGGAGCGCAGGATAGCTTTGTGGCGTTGCTGCAGGAGTCGCTGGGCAGAAGGCTGCTGACATTTCACTGCATCCTGCACCAAGAGGCACTGTGCGCTCAAACATTTCCTCCGGAATGCGCAGAAGTAATGAATGTTGTCATTCAGGTTGTCAATAAAATAATGGCACAAGGTTCAAATCGCCATCAGTTCCATTTCCTACTAGAGGAGGTGAAAAGCACGTCTTCGGATCTCCTGCTGCACAACAAAGTCCAGTGGCTGTCCAGAGGGGAGGTGCTAAAACGCTTTGCCGCGTGTCTGGAAGAGGTGAAAATTTACCTGGGCAGCAGAGGCCTCACCTTTCCTGAGCTGCAGTGGCCAGAATGGCTGGAAAGGCTACACTTCATGGTCGATATGACAGCGCACCTGAACACGCTGAACACAACTCTTCAGGGGAAAGGAGGCACAGCCCTGCACATGCTGGAGGAGCTTTTGGCATTCGAGCACAAGTTGGCAGTGTTTGCCAAAGATTTAGAGAGAGGCACACTGTCTCACTTCCCCTCTTTGAGGGAGTTCAAGCGAGCTCACGATGTGACAAATTTGGAGCATTTGCAGTCTGCAATCACCACAATGCAAACATCGTTTGGGAAGCGATTCTGTGAGTTGAGAGAGGAAAAAAACACATTATCTTTCCCTGTCGCTCCCCTGACCATCGATCCATCCCTCTTGAATATGACGGCCTTTGCGGGTGTAAGCCAACCCGATCTGGAGATGGAGCTGGCCGACATCGCCGACAAAGACATGTGGGTGTCCAAGTTCCAACGCTTGACGGCTAACCTTGAAGAGGTTGCCCGTCAGAAGGCGGTTCTTGCTCAGAACGACAAATGGAGTGAGATTGAACGCCTTCCCAAACCGGAGAAGCTTATATTCGACGCCTGGAATGCCATCCCCGTCACTTACACCAACATGAAAAAATATGCATTTGGAGTCCTGTCGATCTTCGGGTCCACCTACATATGCGAGCAGGTCTTCTCCAACATGAACTACATTAAGAACAAATATCGCTCACGCCTCACAGGGAGCAGCCTGCAGTCCTGTGTGAAGATGAAGCTGACGTCTTACAGGCCTGATGTGCAGACGCTGTGCGCTGAGATCGAGAGCCAAAAATCACATTAACCAGGTAAAATAAATGTTTCAATTGGCTATTATTTTGCAAATATATATATATTTGACATTGGTCGGTGAAATATTCCTTTTTTTATTCAGGTGGACAGCGGACTGCACGCTCCAGTACACACGATAAAAGGATGACGGCACACAGAAGCAGACGGCACTTTTGGTTTGCTGCAGACGGACAATTTAAGTTCGGCTTTTTATTTCATAAATACGAGGAGGACTCAAGTAGACATTATTTTATTTGGAAGTAACCTTCAACCCGGCGTCTTTTTTTCGGAGTTCAAAATGTTGTTTTTGCATGCAGAAATAAAATTTTGTTTTCTCTGTAGCAATTCATTGATTTCCTAAATGCAACACGCTGTAGTTTTTTTATACACAGCATGAAGGTAAAAAATGATATATGCAGTGTCATCTTCATTTTAGATGTCAAAAGGGTTTTGGGGCTCCCGGTGTTTTCTTTTCTGCAGGAAACGGGTCCAAATGGCTCTTTGTTTAAGGTTGCCAACCCCTAGTCTAGGCTCTTGGTCTTGGTAGTCCTTGACCTATGGCCACAACAGACCAGAGGTTCAGTTGCTAAGTGAGTCACACCTAATTTCACTACCTTTTTGCCACTCTGGTTCTTGCAGCTGTTAAGTGAATTGTGCGGTCATTAAACAAATCCAGTTCCCCCCCCCCCCCCTTGGACTTGGCTTGTCGGAAGCCGGCTGCAAAGGTCACAAACGGCAACCGCAAGATCCCCAGGACGGGGCGACAGTCAGTCCCTGCATCCCGGTTGCCAAGCACCCAGATTTTAATCATGTGACCACGAGGATGCTGCCTTGGTTTTAAGTGTGAGGACTGGCTGCAAGTCGCTTTTTCCCCTTCCGTTGTCATTTCAAATGGTCACTGAATGAATGGTTGTAAGTTGAGGACTCACTGTAGGCTGCTTGGATGGATCACCCATCTGGAATGGCATAGGGCAGACATGTCAAACACAAGGCCCGGGGGCCGGATGCGGCCCACAAAGTGGTTTCATGTGGCCCGCGAAGCCGGCCGGGAGCCAATGTCCAATTTTGTGGTGGCCATCTATGCTGAAACACATTCAGTCTTAGCTCCACACCGAGGAACCAGCCCCTGCCGCGTCGGCCCCACCCCCTGGGTGCATGCTGGGGAGGTGTCACCCTTTGTGAGGAATGAAGAAATGGACCGTGCCTTGGCGCTTGCCCTGGTCCCACCCCCTTCTGCCAGAGACCCCCAGATCTTTCCCACTCCTGCCCAGGCCCCTACAGGCCCCCTTGACGCGAATGATGTAGAGCTGGCCATGCCCACCCAGTAGGCCACACCCACTCCATCCACGCCCACCCAGTAGGCCGCACACCCCCCACCCCGCCCCCGAGGGCAACCGCAATGCTGATGTGGCCCTCAATGAAATTGAGTTTGACACCCCTGGCATAGGGTCTCCCGTTTGAGCAGGGGAGTTGGACTAGATGACCTCCAAGGTCCCTCCCAACTCTACTCTGACTGAGGAAGGAACACTTAAGCCCTTCCTAGGAAGAAATAAAAATTGAGGAGAATGTAACCCTGCAACGTGTCAGGGATGAAGGAAGGAGCAGCCTGTACTCGGAATTAAGAGGGGAAGTTTCAAGATTGGATACAAGAAAATAAGCAGCGGAAACCGCAAGTAGGGGACAAAAGGACACGTAGGCATAACTATAGGGGCAAAACAACACGTGTGCTCCAACAAGGAGCAACTCCATAGACCAGATATGTCAAACTCGCAACGTCACGTGACATTGCACGACGTATCGGAACTTTTTCGTGTGGTTTCCTTGTGACGTGTCCGGCCCGCAGGCCAGCAGTTTGACACCCATGCTGTAGACACACACACACAGAGACTAAAAGCAAGGAAGAACTCCAAAAAAAGGCAACAGCTTTGTGAAATGTGACTTCTGGAAATCAACTGTGTACCTAAAAGATGGTGCCGTACCGTTGTTCAGGGTCAGCCCCCAAATTGGACTCGGTAAAAGTTGTGCAAAAGTCCGTCTCTCCTCTCTGGCTCTTGATCGGCTTCTGTGCCAGGCCAACCCCATGTTTGGACAATGGCTTCCCTTGGCGCGCAGAGCGTGGCATCGGCTTGAATTGGTGGCCGTGGCTGGTCTTGGATAGCTGGCGCTGTGGCTGAAGCAGCCCTCGGAAGAACAGCTGCTTTCGTTTCCAGCGATCAGCAAGGAAGAATGTCTGAAAGCTGCGGCTTTAGTTGTAAGCTGTGGGTAGCAACAAACTTATTTCTCCCCCCTCCAGCTCTTGGTCTACCCCATGGTAGCGTTCTCTTTACATGATTTCTAGATCAAGAGTGATGGAAGCTGTAGTCCAGGGGTCTTCCAACTTGGCCCTTGGATGACTTGTGGACTTCAACGCCCAGAATTCCTCAGCCAGGCACGCTGAGGAATTCTGGGCATTGAAGTCCACAAGTCATCCAAGGGCCAAGTTGGAAGACCCCTGCTGTAGTCCGATACCTCTGGTGGACTTGGCACTGAGGCAAAGGAGACAAAAGAGGATGCTGCCCACTCAGGATCTTTCATGCCCACTCAGGTTGCCAACAGTGACTGCCCAGCAGGCTGAAAAGAAAACGAGGATCAAACATTTGGATGTAAAACCGGCATCATGCCCAAGAAGCGGGTGGACACTTTTCTTGCGGCTGGAAACTAATAATAATAATAAAGTTGGAAGGGACCTTGGAGGTCATCTAGTCCAATCCCCTGCTCAGGCAGGAAACCCTATTCCATTTCAGACAAATGGCTGTCCGATTTCTACTTAGAAACTTCCAGTGTTGGAACATTTACCGCTTCTGGAGGCAGGTGGTTCCACTGGTTAATTGTTCTCCCAACCAGGAAGTTTCTCCTTAGTTCCAGGTTGCTTCTCTCCTTGGTTAGTTCCATCCGTTGCTTCTTGTCCTGCCTTCAGGTGCTTTGGAGAAGAACTTGACTCCCTCTTCTTTGGGGCAGCCCCTAAGATACTGGAAGACTGCTATCCTGTCCCCCCTCGTCCTTCTCTTCATTAAACTAGTCATACCCAATTCCAGCAGCCATCCCTTATATATTTTAGCCTCCAGTCCCCTGATCGTCTTTGTTGCTCTTCTCTGCACTCTTTCCAGAGTCTCAACATCTCTTCTACATCGTGGTGACCAAAACTGGATGCAATATTCCAAGTGTGGCCTTACCAAGGCATTGCAAAGTGGCATTAACACTTCATGTGACCTTGACTCTATCCCTCTGTTAATGCAGCCTAGCACTGTGTTGGCCTCTCTATATGATTAACTCATTTTTTTTATGGCAGGCCAGGGCCACGTGGAGCAGAATAGTAAGCCGTGGATGTGACTGGAGAAGGAGGGGACAATATATGACTTCTTTGGGCATTTTTAAAAGAGGAGCATTAAGCAACCTGGAAGAGCTTGACTCGTCGCTCCCATGTAACACCGCTGCTGCGTGAGCTGCATTGGCTGCCTGTGGCCTTCCGGGTGCGCTTCAAGGTGTTGACTATCATCTTTAAAGCGCACCATGGCATCGGACCTGGCTACCTCCGAGACCGCCTTCTGCCACAGATCACCTCTCACCGGCCGATACGCTCCCACAGAGCGGGTCTCCTCAGGGT